CTGTCGCACAATTCGCTGTCGATGACAAGGTGACTGATGATCAGGTTGACGCGGAATAATGTTTCGAGGCTCTTCTGTTCTCATCACTATGGTATACACACTGGTAATGTGCACATTCGTAGCTTATTACATGTGGTATTGAGTATGATACTGGACAAAGAAATTCAAAGTGTATCTGCAGTCATCAAGAGAATAGAAATTGTGTACATTTATATTATATATTATTACTTCTGGCCAAGGGGAGTGCATCGAGACAGCCCAGGCATGCATCCCGCCGATGTTAAAGCAAGGTTATACCAAGGTGTCAGGGATATTGCTCCAAGGTAGCGCAGCAAACATCGATATTGCCCCGGTTATGCTTTGTTTGTGGAACGTTGACAAGACATCGCGGAGAGGTGCCGACGGGATGCCCAGATAAGGTCTCGCACTGATGTTTGTCAGACATTTGGATGCGACGGCGGTGTAGACACTGTGTGCGATATATAACATTAGACATCGTTGTATGCCATGTTCTTGTAGTCTAGATGGTGAGCGTCTTGTAGGGACAGGAATACCCGATGCTCGAGCCCACGGGTTCGATTGCCTAGCTGTGTGTTTTGGGCACCATCATTTTTTTCCGACAGATTGTCAAGATGTATGCATCACTTGTGAATAAAACTCCTTACTCTTGGGGCTTCAATGTATTTTATCATCACTTATGATACACTCCACACCATCCTGATATTATGCGGACAAGCCTGTAGAGAAGAAAAACTTTGATATCAGTGTGTCAAGAGTCACAGCCGCCACCTGCTGCACCCCCCTTTTTCATCCCAACGAGATTGTAATTCTCAGTACATATCACATAAAATACTTCGTATACCTCCCTACGTACTCTACATATAATATATGCATCGTTCTGGTGTCGAGACTCGAATTCAAATGGCCAGAGACCGTGGAAACGCAACATAGGCACTGCGCAGACTTGCCGCACAGCCGTCTGTGCAGTCACTTCACGATGGCCTCGACCTTCCTTTTACGGGCCGCGCATCCTCAACTTTGTTGGGAGGATTGCATTTACAGGTGCAGTCTCAATTTTGAAGCCACAAGCGCGACGATGTGGGTGATGGGAAAGCACGTGACCGCGTGTATTGTGCGGCGCGTGTCACATCGATATCGAAAGCGCTGGGGACCAGAGTTCGGTGATTCTCTCCTTAGAGATCGTACACAATATACGCTAGAGCTACAACTTTCGTTGCACCTATTGCAGATAAACGGCGGTGGTGAAGAAACCCAAGGCGATACATCTCGATACATCTGACGCGATTCCCACCGCATTGCCCTAGGTTCCGGGTCACTGGGGAGAACAGCGAAGACAACAAATCAAGCAGTGTGAGAAAGGCAGTGTGAACCAGGTGCTGCTGCTCGCGGATGAACGTGCCCATGCGCTTCAGTCACAGCCCGCACACACCCGTCGTGCAGATTGCATTCTTGGACATGCCACGCGGACCAGTGAGGCGTGACAAGGAGCGCCGAACACGATGAAAGGGGTGGGTGGAGGAGGTAGGGGCGGGATGGTGGAAGGGAAGGATCTGAGCGGCAGGCGGAGAGGCTAGCTTGTGAATAGACCGGTCTCGCAAAGCGGTGATTCATTGAATAGGGGATGACGTGCTGGAGCGCACTGTATAAGAGCCATAGCCGGGACAGCTCCCATTGGGGGCTGGCATTCAGTTTTGTCGATGGTTCAGGAGATCAAGAGCTATCCACACTCACCTGCACACCAACGCGCGAACGCAGAGCGCTCACACTTCCGGAAATCACGATCAATGTGTCTCACACGGCATGGGTATCCCAGTGTCATAGGCTACGGAAAATGGGAAATGGAACAGGGATAACATCTTATAATGCGTGAAGGTCAGTACTGCCTTTCTGGTGACATACCTTTGTTGTTGCAAGCCTAAGGTAGCGTGCAATGGACTATAAGGACACAGTTCACAGCGATTCATAGTCATACAAACAATAATAATCAGAATACAAACGCGCAATGTTCAACAGTAGGGCGGCGTTCTGGAAGGGAAAGCATTGTACCCTACGTACTTCACCTCTACCAGCACGTTCCTAATCAGTTAGCGTAAGCAACAGAGCACAGATTCGGACTCCTACTCACGTTCGCGCTCTTTCAACGTCCTTGCAGCCATGCGTTCAACGGGACCCAACCGTCTCTGCGCCAGCGTGAGCGTTGGCACTCCATTGATGACTGGCACCCGCGCTGGTTCATATTTAGTCATAATCATCATGTGCGAGTGCATTTCAGCGTCCTTTGTAGGGTGACCCCAGGACATAGCGCCGTGCCCACGGAGTTCTAGGACCCTCTCCTGGATCTCGATGAGCACTTGGTAATAGTCTCTTCTGTTGGCCTCAAGGGGGCGAGCTCCTCGAGTGGCGCGCAGTCGGTTGGCCCAGGCCAGAGCTTCCTCATAGGTAATAATCATGCCACCAACTATCCAGCGTTCGACTGTTCCAACGCGCCGTGGCTTTTGCGCTGGTTCGGTGCTTGCAGGAAATCTACAAATGAGTACTCAGTCTCGCCTCATGAAAGCAAGAACCTCCTTACGTATTGTGAGGCTGGGGAGCCGTTTCAGACATTGCTTCAGGACACAGCAGGAGGTATTACTCTGCAGTAAGATGGGTGAACGCGCCGCCAGGGTTATTGTACGCCGCGTTAGGCGGTCACAGTCACGTGGTCACTGGCAGGTGGCTGCATCTGTTCGGAATCAGTCTCAGCGTTAGTCTCCCGAAGTCAGACCGTATTGCCTCCCTTATAAGGCAGGTGGAGGGCGGTCGGCATATAACGGTCTGCTTCCAGTCGCGCCTGCCTTGGCTGGCTCACCGATTTCAACATCACGTGAATTGTCCCACGGCCTTTGCCTCTATTCTCTGCTCTACTTTCGCTGCCTGGATGCATAACCAGGATCTGTTTTGACTGCATCTACACTTGAATACCCTGTAATGGTACAGTTATGTGTTTTCATAGCATCAAAACACTCAGAAAATGCGAGAGGACCATGGCAAGAGTTGCTGACTCAGCGCCTCTGGCTCTTCCTAATTTGGACACCATCTCATCCTTTTGCCTCCCCGGCGTGTTTGTGAGCCATAGCGCCCTCGCACCTTGCACCCGGTGCACATTGGAAGGGTATATGCCAGACTAAAGCAGAGTATGGATAAATTAATGTATATTTTAATTGGCAAGCATCATATATCAGCACAAACTGCATGGCAACAGCAGAAATGTAGCAGTTAATGAGGATTCATGTCTCCCTTACCTCTCTATTGCTCTGGAATACACATAATAAGGCTACACACACATTGTGAAGGCAAAGGACAACCTGAAAGAGCTTCAAACGCGCTCATACTCGCGTTCGACACTGCAGCGAGCGTGTCCTAAATGAGTGCACGTGACACTACAGGGTCCGAATATGCCTAATGTGCCAAGTGCCGCGCGACTGGATGCAGACTATCTCAGCGTACCTGCGAGACAGTGCTCTGGGATGCCCAGATCTGGCTGTAAGCATAATGCGCAAGTGAAAGGAAGGTTAGCTTCATCTATTGTATGCCCTCTTCTGTCCAGGACATCCTGTGCTGACGCAGTGAACCGTTCTAAGCCTTCTTAGCTTCTCGTCGAAGGCCGTCTCAAGATTGAGACACTGCGTATGAACAATGCAGAATGTATGGCGGATAATTCTTCCAGAAAGAACTGCAATACTGGACGTCCTGCTCCTTTGCGGAACCATCGAGTATGCAATACATACGATGTTCATTTCTGGCGTTCTTCGGATTCCGCATATCAGGTGTTCATCGAAGGCTTCTTGAGATCCAGCCATTGTCTATCGACAATGCCAAAGGTACGAACCGTTACTTCCTGTCCATACCCCTTATGCTTTTATACAGCACTGTTTGCAATATCGAATGTCATGCTGCTTCGGAAAGATTATAGTACGCTAGGAACCCGAGGAACCACGGTTTCGTGTGTATCTTCTGATCCAAGCATCCAGCATCTTTTGTTCTATATTTCAGGAAGCCGAGTCTCAAGTCATCCCAAGACCCATGTGTTCTGTTCGAACAATGTCCTTCTAAAACCTATGATTCTCAGCCTTTTGTGCGTATAACTTCGTCTGCTACGATACACTGCCACTGCGACCTCGAGGAAGTCCGAAGACCCCTTCCATCCGTTCGGTTGGTTCCATATTCGGTCAAGGAAAGCTCTACATCCATTGTGCTGTGGAGGGACAATGGGCAACCTGTGCACTTCCACAGCGATCACCTTCACGGCAACAGAAGATATGAAGCGTGATACTGCGCTCATAGTCAAGTGTTGACTCTACTGCAGCTCGGCTACCCCACAGACACTATCGTAAATGCCGCTGCGGGTTCGACACTCACTTAGCAGTTCTCTCGAAGAGCTACTTCCTGATCGTCTACAACATGAGGATCCCCCACATCCCGTTGACATTGCGAATCAAATCGAGCGGGTAGTCATATGGAACCTGAAAAGAACACTTATGGCCAATGTCCGCGGGGAGCACCAACTTTATGGTGCTGACAATACATATCTACATTCCTGCTTCCCTCCTCGTCGCAACTTCTCTGTCATCCCCCAGGCTATATTGCGAAGAGTGGGATATGTGCCTAAGAACACAAATCCCCTGAAGATTTCTGTGGGGTCCACAGGAGCCGAGTTTTTGGGCCGCCGTAGCGCAGGTGAGTGATTTACAATGATTGGAGCTCTCGGTACTCAGTTGCTTAAACACCGTGTTAGCAACACCGGTCAAAATGTATCCTGATTTCCTCGTAGTCAAAGTTATCCCGACCGACAGCGACGAGCCACGCCAGCAGTATGTCTGCGCCGTCGTAGAGATCAAGCTGAGCAAGGTGGACATCGTGACACAGGAAGTAGAACCACAAGCGGAAGAATACGACAACGAGGGCGAAGCTAGTTTCGAAAGTTGGTACGGAATTGACCAGGCTGGCGAGGGCAAGGGCGAGGACCAGGGCGAAGGGGAGGGCCAGTGTGAGGACCAGAGCAAGGATGATGGGGACGGGGAGGGCGAGGACAACGGTATGCAGCTTCAAGACATGGAAGGGGATCAAAATGCTGGTGACGTAGTTGATGATGCGGTATCTGTCCTTCTGGAGAACATGGAGGCCCTGGAGGGCAAAGCACAGATGTCGCTCTACATGAAGATGATCTTGAAACATAACTACAGGGACCCCGACCTGCGCGGCTTCCTGCTCGATGGAAATTATTTCCAGCGCTTCAAGATCAACGGTGACCAAGTCGTGGTCGATGACCCCATCGATATCTTCGCGCCCGGCGATCCACTCACTATGGACCTGTGCAACATTGCCTCTCGTCACTGGAACCGCGACGAGGTGGGTGGCCCTCCTTCGCCGATGGACGTCGACTTCCTCGAAGCCCTGGGCCTGCCAGTGCCGGGCCACTAGGAGGGTCATCACGGTGGTCAGGACATATATGTAGTCTGTACAGTAGCATGTCGTGTTCGCAAATTGTAGTGCTTTCGTTAGAAATTGATGTATAAATTCGACTGCGTTATATCCCTTCGATCGCAAAAAAAATCAGACAGTGTCGTGTTACATTCAACCTGTATCCGTATACTCGGTTGCAACCTCGACGTCGATATCCCCGCATGCGAGTACCTTGGTCAAAGACAGTTGAGAGTATCAGTGTCACTGTGAGGGCTGCGTGCCACAGGACCGAGCACAGCAGACGGGAGGGTAAGCCATATAATTCGACGAGCGTGCTCGTGGCAAATCCAAACGTACTGAGCGTCGACTCGGTTGCAAAAGCGAGGGTTTACTTTTACGCATTCCGCAGTTCAGCGGACGACTCACGTCGTGAAAGCTGCAATGAGGCACTCGTATTCAGTATCTCTGACGACTCAGGGGCAGGAAGAGCTGACCTTTACTCACCTGGATCGTAACCTGCAAATGCAGAGCACTTGGAAACGGTAGCCTTGTTGTTGCAAGCCTGGGGCAGCGTGTAGTAGGCTATAAGGGCATGATCACATTGATTCATAGTCATACAATCAATAACAAGCAGGATACAAACGCGCGATATTCAACAGTAGGGCGGCGTGTTGGAAGGATAAGCATTGTACCCTACGTACTGCACCTCTACAAGCGCGTTCAGAATCAATTAGTCCTAGCTACATACCAGGAAGTAGGATTCTCACTCACGTTCCTGCTCCTTCAATGTCCTCTGGGCCATGCGTTCGACCGGACCCAACCGTTTCTGCGCCGGCGTGAGCGTTGGCACCCCATTGACGACCGGCACCCGCGCTGATTCATATCGCGTCATAATCATCATGTGCGTGCGCATCACCGTATCCTTTATACGATAGCCCCAGTACATGGCCCCCCGCCCGCGGAGTTTTAGGACCCTCTCCTGGATCTCGACGAGCACCTGGTAATAGTCTATTCGGGTTGCCTCAAGGGGGAAATCTCCTCGAGTGGCGCGCAATCGGTTGGCCCAGGCTACGGCCTCCTCATAGGTAATGATAATGCCGCCAACTATCCAGCGTTCAACTGTTCTGACGTGCCGTGGCTTTTGGGCTGGTTCGCTCGTGCTTGCGGGCATTCTATAAGCACCCCATGTCGCCCCCCGCTATAGCAGTGCAAGACTCACGTATCCCGAGGTGCAGCCACGGTTTGGAGGGTTGACATCGTTTCTGGAGACACGTGCAGGGAATGATGACTAGAAGCCATTATTGTGATCTTTCGGCAAGAGGAGAGCAGTGCACTCACGCATCCTGAGATGCAATTTGTTGAGGCATCACAGTAACGAGAGCACAATTATTTAAATTGGGTCGCGGTTACGGGTATAACGCACTCCACGTCTTCCATCAAGCGAGCCACACTAGGACCCCTGAAAATACCGATGGAGGTTAGATACCAATTCCGTAAAAAAGTGAGGTCTGGAGGCCGTATGTTAGATACGGTTGCGGTAAAATGTGGCGAAGCGCCCAAGAGGCCGGATACTTTAGTCCCGGTAGAATTGAGGCTCAATATCCAAGGTCAGATACCATTGTGGTATATACCCGGCTTCTCCCGGCACTCAATCACTGGCTTGTGCAGCCACAATTTGCCCCAATAAATATTTGAGCTGAGATTGCACTGTTCTGGCAACATTGGGCCTATATATGGCATATTGTAGCGGATAATGCCGTATTTTGATCAAATTTGGCTAAGAAAAACCCTTGTGACCGGATCAAAATTCAGAGGTTGGATATCTGGGTCCCGGTAAATCTCGAGCCACACAGCTAGGTTGGTATCGCGTCCCGGTAAAAACAGCCAAATTACGCGAAATTCGGTCCCGGTAAAAATGAAGGAAATCAGGTCCTCTGGTATCTAACCTCCATTGGTACTTTCAGGGGTCCTGCCACACTCGCGACGACGCGCGCAGTGGCGGGCACGTGAACGTGTGTGCAAGGCTATTTCTGGACACAGGGGGCCACATCGAAAGTATTAGCACGCATTGTGACAGAACAGAGATAAATCTAGCAACTCTATAAATCATTATATGTATTATATTTACAAGTTCCCTCCTCGAGACACCCGCTAACCTACCCAAACCTCCGACTCAACCCATCATAAATCAAAAAGATCACCGCACTGCTCGGTATACTCCTCGCAATCGTAATCCCGCACCCCGCATACAAACCCCTCAACCCCTGCTTCCTCCACATCTCCATAAACGTCCCAAAAAAGCTTGCCTTCCCCCGTTCCACGCCCGGTCTTAGTTCCCCCTCCGTCTGCAGCGTGCTCTTGACCGTGTCGGCCGGGAAGAACGCAAGGTTGTACATCCCGCCGGCGCACGCACCCGCGAGCGCCGACTCCCACGGGCGCAGCTCCTTCTTCGTCCGCCGGGGCGCGGCGCGGGAGGGCGGGTCGCGGGCGACGAGGAACGCCGCGACGGCCTCCTTCGTCGCGAACCACGCGCCGCTGCCGCCCGTCTCGCGGATGAACGTGCCCGTGTGCCCGAGCCAGAGCCCGCGCACGCCCGTCGTGCGGACCACGTTCGTGAGCACGCCGAGCGGACCCGGGAGGTGCGCGCGCGAGGGCAGGGGCGCCGGCGCTGGCGGAGGTGCGCTGGCGGGGTGGGTGGAGGAGGCGAGGGCGGCGACGGTGGAGGGCGAGGGCGCGAGGGGGGACCCGACGAGCATCTGCACTTGCATCTTGCACTTGACGAGTTCGATTGGGGTGCTAGTGGAGATCGTGAGTCGCGTCTTGCACAGCAGTATCGGTACTCACAGGAGGAAACTGGTGATACCCCCCGCGCCGGCGCCCGCGAGTGCCAGCTGAGGCACGGAGAGATCTTGCGAAGCGGGGAGGTGGTTGAAACGCCGGATGAGGTGCTGCAGCTCGCTGTACGACAGGAACAGCGAGGCGTTCTCCACCATCGCGCCTACAATCGGCGCAGGCAAGCCCTTGCATCGCCCCCTCCGTCAGGCCGATTCCTAACCCACTAATTACAAAGCAAGTCGCACCCTATACAGGCCTCGTATCCCCTCATTCTTCCACGTCTGCGTCAAGCAGTCTATGGGCCCGCTGAACCGCGCGTGCTGGTCGAGCACCTGCGCCTGCAGGCGGACTTTACAGAGGTCAAACGGGTGTTCGAGGAACTTGGACGCGATGCCTGCTGCCTTCACTGGCGCACATTAGCTGCAGGTTTCAGGGTCGAGGGAGGACGCCGCTTACGCTGCCGAACGCAATGTCCTTGAGTGCCCGGACGGTGGGCGAGGAAGAGTCCATGGTCGTTATCAGAGAAGTGGTCTATGATATGCTGAACGAGATGACAGTCAAGACGAAGTAGAAGGCTGCTATTGCATCGCGGAGCAGGAGCTATATAGGCACTCTCAATGAACAGCAATTGCTATACGCAGCTGTGGCAAAAGTACAGCTGTATGTGGACGGCAAAATGAAGTGGCACTGGCAGGTAGCCGGTAAGCGCGCGTGGTCGCCACGTGCACCTGTCGCGTCGCGTGTGTGGCTGAGGCTTCGATGGTGGCACAAACGGCGCGTACACTGTAGAACCAGTAGAGAGCGGAATACGCAACCATCTCAATCATCCTTCGTCAGAGTGGTTTTGGGTGCATTGCCCACTGGAGCTTGCTTGGACGGTGAAACCGATCGATGCAACTGTGACCCGAAGACAACCACAAGTCACCTAAGCCATGAAGATGGTCAATAGCAGTGAGCAGCAATGTAGTTGAAGCGGGCAGGATTTCAGGCCTCAGGGTTTCCGTTGCACCCGTGTGCTATGCGTCCGGCGAATGCGCGACTTGCCTAAGAATCACAGAAAGCCGAGACAAAGGTCAGCATATCCAGCCCTAAGTTCGGTCCTTGAATCAAATCATTCGCAGATTAGTACAAGTAAGAGACATAGCGACTGCCTTGGATCAGTTCACGACATTGGACATGTCCGCTGTTCGCACTATGACCCACTTCCAAACCACGTTCTGGACATAAGCATCGGCGTCACCGAACACCCAAGTTCTTCTTCATCTGCGTCAGAATCTTATCGACCTCCGCGATCTGCTGGTCCGTGAGCTTTTGGAACTGTTGATGCAAATGCACAAATTAGCACGGAGGATAGGCCGTATTTACGACGCAAATGCAGACATACCTCCTCGATCTCCTTGGAGTGCTTGTCGAACTTGCCCTTCTTGAGAGCGGCGGAGTGATGCTTCCGAATCTGCACACGACACTCTTCCGCAAGCCGGTGGGCGGTGGTGTAGAGTGCATGGCGGGCTTCTACAGTAGGCCTGTACGAGCATCCTTAGAATCAGCACGCCATTCAACCATCTAACCAGCAGCAACCACGGTGCCACTCACTTGGGTATGGGTATCCGGATCGTGCGGCTGTCTTGCTTCTGCGGCACGACGCTGGGGATCTTCGCATCATAAATAGCGGTCTCGACGTGTTTGAGATTCTACTAAGGCAAGGCAACACAGCCCCTATCACTCGACCATCCAACGCAGCAAGGCGGGTGGAAGCACTCACGCCCTCCTCGAAAACGGTTACAACCAGCACACTTCCGTCCCGTACGCCCACCGTCGCAACCTCGTCCAGCTTCACGCGCTCGCCGTCCTTCAGCGTGACGCGCACGGGGTCGAGCAGCGACGGCATGACGCGCCCGCTCGCGCGGCTCTCGAGCACGGAGGTCTCCTTGCGGAAATAGTCCACCGCGGCGGACATCTTCTGCTGCGTAGAGACATATTCCGGGGACGAATGGATCGCTTGCGAGCCTGGCACGAGCGCAGAGGTGTTGAGCGGGCCTTTGGGTTTCGAGTGCGATTCTTCGGCCGGGCTGGAAGATTTGGAATTCTTTGACTTCGTTTGTTTGTTTTTCGACGCGTAAAAGCGGACAGAGACAGCCAGGCGAGCGGCTTGACCATGCAATGAAATGCCCGGGAGCGTACGCCGGATTGCTAGGCGCAAGAAAGTCATAGTGGCGGTAAGAGGTGAGAAGAAATCTGCCAAGTCACACTCGCGTTACGGCTCGCGACGCGGTCACATGCTCTCTAAGCTACTAGTACAAGTTCAAGAGCCACACTGCTATGATATGTAGCAACATCTATACACGTACAAAAACAACACATTAGACACACATCTACGCTAGCACTACCATGATAGGATTGCCTATGATACAACAGCATTATCAGTGATCTCATACAATAGTATAAGCCGCCAATCTCGACGCTGGCGTATATAGATCCGAGCAGTGGATAGAGGGTGTATCGAAGAATGAGGAATGGGATTAATGTGCCAATAATATAGCGCTTAAGAAAAATAAAAATAACGATCACAGCGCGAAAAAGGTGGATTGAATGAAAAAATGGAGCGCACTGAAAGGTGTACGGAACGGACCGCGTGGATAGCTGAGTTCAATTTCCGATGAGACGCCCTCTCGTGTCCATGCCGAATACTACGAAGTATGTCAGCACCCGCTCGCAGCAGGCCGAACCTCCGACAACTCACAGTTCGCAAGTTCCCTAACGCTCAACCTCCCGATCTTCTTTCCAGCGCCCTCGCCCAGACTACCTTCGGCAAGGTTCCGCTAAAAAACTGTCAGCCAAGCCCTGGAGAGAGGGAGAAGAGAGAACGCACCTTCCGCTCCTGAAGCGCCAAAATCCGGTCCTCTACCGTATTCTCAATAACGAGCCGGTCGACAAACACCGGACGGTGCTGCCCCAGCCGGTGCACGCGGTCGAATGCCTGGTGCTCGACCGCTTCGCTCCACCCGAGATCCAGCGAGATAACACCTATTTCCCAATGTCATGTCAGAACGAGAAAGAGAAGGGAGAGGGAGATACGCACGGTTAGCACGTGTGAGGTTCAGCCCGACGCCACCGCATTTGAGTGACATGAGCATGTACTTGGCCTTGTCCTTCGCCATGAACACGCGTACGGCGCGATCACGCATTGCGCGATTCATGCTACCCTGGTATCTGCGTATTCAAGATCAGATGGCCCGATATATGTGGAGGGAAGCAGACATCGCACGTACTTGACATGGATCATCCCATTCTCGCTGAGGTAGTTGGAGACGAGATCGAGGCACGAGGTCCATTGGGAGATGATCAAGACCTGCAGGAGTGTCCCGTCAGTCGATGCTCTCACTACGACGCTAGTGATATACGAACCTTTTCGTCGGGGTTTGTTTTAGACCATTCCCGCAGACTTTCCATCATGTGCTGAGTGATAGGATCAGTTGAAATACGGGAGGCGAAGACACATAGGTTGCCCACCTTCATCTTCGTAGACGGCAAGAATTTCGACATGAGCCTAATCTTCCCATCCGCAGGACGCTCGGGCTCCGGCTCCTTCTTGCCAAAGATGACCTCGGCATCCTCTTCGTCATCTGAATCCAGGATGATGGCTCGAGCCTTCCCCTTCCCCTTCCTGGTGTTGGCGCGGGGCGGTGCAAACTCCCCATCTTCATCGTCACCATCTACGACGACAGGGGCCTTCTTGCTAGGCCGTCGCGAGCCATACTCCTCATCGTCATCTGCATCATCATCCACGATAAAGTCGCGCATATCGTCATCGTCCTCCTCGTCCTCTTCGTCTTCCTCGTCGTCCATATCGACGTCGTCAGCGCCGGCCTCTTCTGCGTCAGATGAACACATCATTTTGCGAGCACTGCCCGGCTTGGCCTTGCCTTTGCCCTTCTTGCTCTTCTTCATGACCTGGGATATGTCGACCCGTTCGCTGTCATCTGTCAGCTCCTCATCCGACGGCTCGAACGCCAGTCGCGAGAAGAGCTTCGCAAATGAGATGGGGGCGCGACAGCTAGGGCCTGAGAGCCGTCTGTTAGTTTGTGTCATTTGAGATTCACCCAAGAAACCAAGACATACAAGGTCGTTCGTCCGCTTTGTACCGGATATCGTTGTTCTGATCGTCAACATGAGGTTGGTTGAGGACATTTACTATTACCACAGTCAAACAGCGGCCATGTTTAACGCCACAATTACTCACTGATACACTCCCGGCAGAACACGTGTGCACAAGGAGTCAGAACAGGATCCACCATTGCGTCTAAGCAGACAGGGCATTCCTCATCGTCTACCGTGGCATCGGCAGACTTGCAAAGGCAGTTAGTGACATCCGTATCAGGCAAAGCACCAACACCTACCTCTTTCTCTGCTTGCATCCTATGTAGGGCCGCCTGCTTGAACTTGAACCTCATCCGGGCTACAAAGTCAGGCGATATCAACTGAGCAGCACGGGCCAGCTCCGTTTTGGCTTCAGGCCGGACGGTACTGTCATCCTCGTCACCCGGATCGCTGTAAGCCTCGCCTTCTTCATATATGAGTGCAGGATGAGAACAGATCTGTCGAAGCCGGAGCAACATGACCAGAACTACGAAAGCCCATTCAGCAACAAATCATTTTGCATAGGAACATATGTTTACCTTGATGATAGTTCCTAGCGATGCAAGGATCAACAGTTTACACTTTGGGGAGAAGGCAGGAGCTCACTTTAGCACCGTCCCAGCACGGAGGAAGCGATTGAACACCGCTTGCGACTTAACCTCAACCTGCAGGGTTGCTTCAGTGATCATGGATATATGAGAGATCCCGGTGCCACTCCTACCATTTTATAGATCTCACGCTCTTCCTCGGTGAACTGCAGTTTGTGCAGCTCGATGGTCTTGGCGGGTAACTCTATGAGCCGCTTTCCGTCCAACATCGAATCCTTCTTTCGCCGGATGAGCATCGACTTAAAGATCACTTGGAGCCTAGTTGTAGCCATTGATGCTATATGCACATACGTAACATTCAGTATCCAGATATTGACTTAGTAATGTAAGGGCTCCTACGATTCTTCTTCTCCAGACGCACGACGTGGCTGTTGAATTCATTCCAATCGTACCAAGGCCGTACTTCCAAGAACCGAAGCAAGCCATAGGCATCGGCGAGGCCATTGATGATAGGCGTTCCGGAGAGGCACCACCTATACTTCGAGCTCAACTTTGTGACGGCGCGTGAAGCCCCTACAAAAAGCATCTCAGCACCCGTGACTTGGGGGGAGTCGAAGTCACTCACGAGTCCTCTTGTTCCGGATATTCTGAGCTTCATCAAGTACGATTCGCCACCACTATGAATAGTCACTGATCAGCTTGAGATTACATAAGAACAAATTCAATACGAACATCCACTTGGAACAGCAAACCCACTGCAGGTCATGGGCAGCAGTTGTCAGCGAGCATTCGCCGCAAAGAGGGTCAAGTGTGCTTACATGTCTTCTTCTTGGACTTTTTCTTGACTGGCTCGTCCGAGTCTTCAGAGTCGCTCACGATAAATTCCTCGTCCTTCTTAGGCTTCTGCTGCTTTCGTGCTTTCTGTGCTTTCTCCTCAGCTTCGGGGTCCGGCCACTCCATAGCAAGGGTCTAAGAACGGATTGGGTAAATATATGCACAAGATTCAGGAACGCTGGGTACGTACGCCATAAGTTGTCAGCACCACATCGTATTTAATCAAGTCTGACTTCTTTTTCGGTTTGCCCGCACCTGGTAGACTATGTTATTACCGACGCACGGATCAATTCGAGGCGCACACACCATGATAGATTAAGCATTTGAGTCCACAATCCGTCTTCGTCTGCAATTCCAGCTGCCACTGATCAAGGAGAGCCAGTGGTGCCACGATAAGGGTCGTCTTCTGCATAGGGTCGCTGGACTGGTTCGTAACGATGACAGACATCCTGCAATTAAACCAGACAAAAATGTCAGCGCATCGTCCATAGAGCACACCGCATATACCCACATCTGTACGGTCTTCCCGAGACCCATCTCATCCGCCATGCACCCACCCTTGAAATGGCTCTTCTCCTTCTCTAGCATCCATTTGACGCCGATCGCCTGGTGCGGCATCAGCGCGACCGTCATCCCGGGGAGCGTGTCGAACAGGTTCTGCAGGCCCAGTTTCTCGAGCGCGCTGTCCACCGACGCGTTGCCGTCAAACTGCTCTGCATTGCCCGCGGCAACCAGGAACTTGTCGATACTGCCACACGTCCATCAGCAAGGTACTAAGGAGGGAACACAAGGGCAATGATACTTACTCGTCCGCTTTTGCAACGGGCCCAGCGAACTTGTCTTTGCCCCGCCCATAGAAATCGCCATCTTCGTCGAACCGAGGGTCATCCCTGTATCTCCCAGGGACCAAGGGTATGTCGTCGAGTGGCTCGCTGAAGTCGCGGCCAGGGGGCAAATTCTCTGGTCCTCTGGGCAGCACTCGGGTCTTCTCGTCCACATCCATTTTGACCACCGCGTTCGAGCCGGACGCGACGGGGCTGAATGGCAGATGGCGCGGGATTTCAGGTGCGCGCGATTCCGACCGCTTGAATACCACAGGCTTCTCCTCGACCTTGGGAGTGTGAGACTTCTGCTCCGGCCGCGCGAATGGTGAAATCTCCGGCTTCCGTACTCCCTGAGTGCCGAACTGGACGAACTGGCGCCCCACGTAGCCGTACGGCCCCGTCGGGCCAATGTTCCGCACCTGCCCAGCCCTCTCGGGCGCATGCGCCTCCTTCTTCGGCGACCGCGCCATAGTGGAGCTGGGAAGCGACGTAGTCAGGTCGTCCCTCTTCTGTTTGAAAGCCGCCATACGCGCGTTTAAATTCGCCAGCCTCGTAACCTCGCCCTTCGTCTTCGTCTTCTTCCTCGCGATGCGGTCGATCTGTGGTTGCAGATGCGCAATGTCAGCTTGGACGTCGAAGATCTGCTCGCGGATGTCGTCGACATCCGCAGCAGCCTTGACACCCGAGGGTCCGGCAACGGGCTCCGCAGCATCGGAGGACGGAGGTAGCAGAGGCGGGGACGAGAGTCTCTGTTTCTTTAGGGAGACAGGAGAGGAGCTGAGGTGAGATGTCACATCAGACTCCTCACTGAGCGTGGGGAACGTTGAGTCGGAGTAGCGCTTCCGAGGGACGGTAAGCTCGATCGGCTCTGCCTTCGCTGTCGCAGTATCAAACATTTGAACGTATCGTTCCTGCTCCCGCGATACTGCTTTGGGAGGCTTGAAAGGCGAAATGAAACGCTCCGGCTCCCCTGATGCAGCCTTCGGGGGAGCAAAAGATGATCGGTACTTGGGTGGCGTGCTGGGCATGCTGATTGAGCCCCTGGCACGAGAAGTAGGTGCCTCCGTGTCAAAGCTAGCGTCTAGCACGCTCAGGAGGCTCGCCTTCGGCGTGCCGCTGGGCGTCTTCACCTGAGACGATGAAGATGCCATTGCATTGCTCGTCGATGCAGGGGTCGACTGCCGCCAGAGCGTCAGAATGGCACGCAGAACTGAAATAGCGAAAAGGTACATACAACTGATTTTCCGAGCTTCCGAGCTTGCTCGGCTTTCAGCCTCTTCAAGCGGCTTTGCTTGTGTGCGGGGTGGTTGCTTATATGCGTCTGTAAACAATAGTCACTCAGTCAAGAAGGGCGATAACTCGCGAATTGAAAGTTTACCCGATAGCCTGAGAGCGACCCGAGGCCATCTCTCTTACCCCCGTCTGCAACCGAAATTCGGGGAACCAGCGGTATGTCGATGTTGCAGCCTTCTTCGAGGCATCTGACAATGCCCACTATACCAGCAACGCATTCAGAGACATATGGTCCTTTCAAACGAACCAGACACTTACGTCCGGTCCCAGGCTGTAACCTGATAGCAAACTATTTTGTGCGCAGCAGGTCAGGAACAACAGGATTTGCCCAAACGGCCTCGAACTCACGTTGGTGTCATCCGCGTACAGATTCAAGTGACGTTCCAGTTCTTTCAAGTAGCACTTTGGAACTGCTGCAGCCTATAAACGGTCCCAGAAACGCTTTTAATTAGCACGCTTCCGAAGTTGCGTTACATAACACGCAGGACGCATCATGCACAGCTTAAAGTCTAAATCAAAAGGCTGCTTACAGAGGCGTCCGGCGGCAGGGACAGCGTGCGTTTGGCAAGAGACAGAAACTCGTCCGGCGACAGCGCCATCTCCCAAGAACTTTGGCAATGTGTGGATGGGCGGAAAGTGGAGGGAAATGAGACGCGGTGCGCGCGTTAAGCAGCGCGTTCCTTCCCACGAAGAAGCTATACGCGCCGGCCAAAAACGGCAAATGCAGTCACGTGCTACGCGTCGATGAAGCGTGAAGCGTGAAGTGCAAGCTCCAATTGTACGCCAACGCGCCTGAGACGTTTTATGAGCTCTTACTCGTGTTCGTAAACCCGTCGCGCAGAACCTTTTCTTTTGCAGCCATGTCTGCTTGTGCCGTCTCCTTGGTAAGTGGATCAGCGGCGATGTGATGTTTTGGCCTACTCATCTGCATTTGGATACTCCGTCCCGGTAGGCTCGCTGACCCTCGAGGAGCTCGGAGGAGACAGCAGACTCGCTCTCTCCGACGACGCGGGAAGAACGGGCACGCGCTGGAGCTTTCGACAGGCGAGAAATTTGGTACGTTAGAGAGGGGAAGCGAAGCGCGGGCTGCGTCCCGAGCTGGTGTCAGCGCGACCGCCGAACTGGGACAAGGCGGCAGCGGGAAGCGCCGGGGGAAGGCGTTGAGGACGGATGCCAATCCTAACCTCATGGTCCCGCGCGCGGTTCTGCCTACATTGATGTACGAGCATGAGCCGACAGGCCAGAAGAGCGTATGGCTGGTTACTGCAGTATACGGACGTCTCGCTGTCGGTGACAATAAGGTGCCAGGCCCGAATGAGAGAAGGCATGGGATAGAAGGCCCAGCGTCCCACAGGATCTGCTTGAGTTGATGAGTTGAGACTCGAATGAGGATAACTGAACGGAAGGAAGGAGTTAAATTCCGCACCGTATGCTAGGCCCAGCAGCCAGGACGTATCGCCTGGACTGTGTATAGGAATACAGCACTTCGCACGCATGCCATCGACATGCTCTCGCAGGTGCTGTCACTTAATACTATTCGTTACAGTCCACTACAACAAGAGCAAACGGAAAGATTGCCGATACTGTGCCATTAGTACTCCTCTTCCGTGGCCTGAAACCAACAGCACTTCGATATGTCGTCTTCAATTCCCCAGTCGATCAAAGCATGCTCAAGATAGGCTCGTAACCACCCTCTACAACAGATTGAGGCAGAATCTATGTTGTAGAGGCTGGTGCATTTGGCGTGGGAATCCAGTATACGCGTCGTTATCTTCCTGCCGCAGCCCTGCCGTTGCTGCCGACGTCCGCCGAACCCTGCCGAAGTCTGCCGAATGTGCCTTTCGTAGTCGAGTAAGAACCCTGGTAGTCCAATACAACCAGCTTTATAGTGTCATTAGAAATGTTGTAGTCGGACTACAAGTCGCGCCGGCTGCGAAGTCTCTCGCTCCTCGTCGCTCCCTCGTCCGACGCTCGTTTGATGTTTGGATATAATATGCTCCTATAATCATGAACAAGATTAATGCCATAGATGTCTACCTTCGGGACCTTGGAAAACGAACTCCGGACTTATTTTCCTGTATATTACTTATACCTTACCGAAGGGTCTACCCGCGCTCTCCGATGATTTCCTGGTGCAGCTATCATGGCACTTTCCTCCGCAGTGATAGGTCTGCGATGTTTGTTTGACATGTCTGTGTGGCGGTGAGTTGTACGGCACGGGAAGGCTGCAGGAATTCGTCTCTGGGACAGGGCTCGTGCCTCCAGCACCAGTAGTGACCACGCGTACCATAAGCCCCAGCCACTCCGAAGGGTCCAGCTCGTCTAGCAGCCGACCTCGCTGCATGACGACAACAGGTCAGTACCGCGCTCGAGGAGGATATAAAAAACTCGCACACCTGAATACCAAGTCCATCGTACCGATGACCGCCACCGCGTCGGCCAACGCTCATCAATGATGGCTATATTGTGCCACAGTTCCGCGGTAGAACAGGCACATTCCCTCCAGTGTTGGCAAACCTGTGCCAGAATGGAAGGCATAAAATGTGGTCCCAGCTCCTTCCCTTCGGATTGCAGGTTTAAGAATATTTTAGAGAGCAATTCCACAGGCAGACTGTGCACCAGTGCTGCAGGTGTCAATTCGACACATTTTGCGGTAGGGCTGTAGGTTTCCGGAGACTGAAACGAGCCCTGATTATTCTCCGTATGCCAGTAAACCATTGCAGTTGGTTCACATACCGACGTGATAGCACCAGCGGTCATGGCTGAACTTGAAAGACACGGGTATGTCAAGCAAGACCACTGCGAGTTCCGCCTGCAGCTGGTGTGGTCGACGTTCGGTGAAAGCTGCTGGTGCAGGGGTAAACCAGCTGTCATTTTGTTCCATCATGGCAGTCACGATGTTACACAGCTTGATGACTGTGTTACTATTGTTACTACAAGGTCCTTGCTATACAGTGCGTGCGGACGTCCGTGATACAGGCTGTTCATGGCTGAGGGCAATGCGTCGACCAATAGACTTGGAAACGGGTCATGGACTGCATCAGCACTTCTGCATCTGTCCTGACAGCTCCTGACAGCTCCTGAGGAAACATCCTCAGGCCCTCTCAGGAGCCCTCAGGAGCTCTCAGGAGCTCTCAGACGTCAGTGCTCAGAAGGCACTGCGGGCAGAGACCGATGTCCCGCCGGCGGGCATGCCAGGAACATCTCCCTGATGGGAGAACACTTTCCTAGAATGGTCCTTGCTGGACCATAAGCTGGACATGAAGAATGTCCTTTGAGTGAACAAAGAAAGGTCTGCGGGACATTTACTATGGTACCTAAAAATCAGGGGACATTTAATTAGCATTGTCCTTTCATTCTTTATGTCTGTATCATGTTCTGATACGGAGCATCCTAGGAAAGTGTTCTCCCACCCTTGCCGTGAAAGATGAATGACCGGTGGCGGGACACCGGTCCTTGCCCGCTGTGAGGTCCATTTTGTCAGGTCAGGACCTGTCAGGACGTGTTCAGCCACTGACCGTGAGAGTCCGCGCCGGTTAGGATTCTCGTGATGTGATTGGCCAATCCTGGCATGACTACTCACAGCAGGCAAGCACCGATGTCCTGCCACCGGACATTTGTCATTCATGAAATAGGTGGGAGAACATTTTCCTTGCATGCTCCGAAGTGGGACTTGGCCGAGACATAAAGAATGAGAGAACAATGTGAATCAAATGTCCCCTGATTTTTAGAGAGCATAGTAAATGTCCCGCGGATCTGCCTTTGTTCATTCAAGGGACATTCTCCATGTCCAGGTCGTGGTCCAACAAAGACCATTCCAGGAAAGTGTTCTCCCAACCGGGGCATGTTCATAGCATGCTCGCCGGCGGGACATTGGTCTCTGCCCGCAGGGCTGTTGTAGTGCCGACTACAAGTCACTGGCCTAGTGCCATCATTACTAATTCCGATTCCCCTAGAATCGGTTTACTGTTCAGTCGTTGTATATAAGGATGGGCGCGGGTGGCGGGTACCACCGCAGTATTGGGCCCACGGGTTGCTCGGGTGCGGGCTCGGGTCTGAAATCCCTCGAACCGCGCGCTACCATGAAACCGTCCCAATGGGTCTCGGGTCCCGCGGGTCTGGTGGAGGGTACAATATTTATACGAAATTTGTGATTTTTGAGGGGTAAATGCAGCAAAAACACGGGAGGTTGGTTCCCGGTGATACTGGAGTCAGGTATGATACTGTCAGATCCAGGTGTACAAAGAAACTGGCCCAACAGTACCTTCAATAGGGTGCCTTGAACCTGCAAAGCCCTACCTTGGGCATCAGCTAAGGGCACCCAGCGACCCGCGGTCTCTCGGGCGGGTTTTGTACCCTTACCCGCTGCGAGTGCGGTACAGGCGGGTACGGGTCGGGGTGAGCGTGGCAGAGCCGCGGTGTCACCCGCGCCCAACCTTAGTTGTATAGGGCTCTCTGGTGATCGAAAATTGCCAGCGTTGAACAGGGGATATACCCCTTATAGTCCACATTACCTTAACTGTAACGGGAGCACCCTCCTTAAATGGAAGGTCCACCGATTCAAATCTTAGCACCATCAGCAAATAGGAGCTATTGCCTCTCATGTCAATAATTACCGTTTGTGAATAGGGACTAATTCCAGATATGTAGTGTGGTCTCTGCACGGCACGATCCTTTCAAGATCTCGGGCCAATGGCACTGTCAGGCATCCCCCAGCTGTGTGTGGAATTGCGCCGATGGCAAGTACCCTGCTGCCTACGGCACAAGATTGGTAAGTTACATATGAGGCGTAGTACTGGCAGCATTGAGGCCTCAGCCTGACGACGTGCATCTCAGCTACAGTATGCATGTGCACTGACTCGATAGTAATGCTACCCGAGTGTAGTACTGAAGTAAACAGTGTATTGTGTATTGAAATAACTGTACTTGACACCGAGTATAGGATGATTGAAGGTTCTAGCCACACACAGTTATGTTTGAGAGTTCAGTTACAAACTTATATGATTTAGTATCACTGAGATCAACATATAAGAACTAGGAGTATTCTTGATGCCGCGCAGCACCCGGAAGGCTAGAAAGACTATTTACCTACTTGTGGAACCCTTGCCACTCATTTACCTTACGAGGAATCGGACCTGGCGTGCCGCGCAGCGCCGAATACTTCCCAAGTTTGTAGTCGTCCTGACGTGTTGCTGTCAGGACTCTCAGGTCCTCAGGGATTCACAGAAGTGCTGATGTGATAGAGTGCGGTCGAGGCTTCCAGACGAAAGACATTTAGTTTCTTCCCGACATTTATACCTTTGGTGGTCTAATCAGTCTCGCGGATACGCTGTCCTGTGTTGTCCGATGCGCGTTTTGCGTGCGCGCGGGGCGAGTGTTCATGACGACGACTGCAAAATGATACGGTATGCTCGCCTACATCACTTATACGACGATGCTTGATGTAGACCACCTACTCTAATCCCGCTCTCATAGCCTGCCTCGCTAAGCCAGTAAGAAGTTCAGCTCCTGCTTTCGCGCCGTCGACTACGTCGACTGCATGCAGACCTGCTTCCGTAACGGACGACTTCACTAGTGGGTCCATTCCAGTCATGCCTTGGGTTAAAGAGACGTCGAAAATGAGTCGGTTATCGGGTACCACTACTAATTATACGCCTGTGTGCTCACCAGCGCATCCGAGGATGATTACGTCCGCGCCCTTGCGCGCTATACGTACGGACGCATTCTTGACTTGCTCGTCCACATGTCCTTCTCCGTCGGTCTTGAGCTCGACCACGCCGAGTCCAGTCGCCTCGACGCCGACGAATCTCTTGTCACCTCCGAGGAACTCTACGGCACCCTTCATCAATGGCTCGACCCAGGCAGGTCCCGTAGTTATAATCCCAATGCGAGAACCAAGCAACAGCCCTTGCGCGAGAGACGCATGGAGTATATTCAAAACAGGCTTGTCGTACAGTCTTTTGAGCTCAAACGTGAGGGGATGGTCACTAACTTCATTCAAGTTCCAAGTTCATTGGCTTCGGTGAATGCGGCAACCCAGCGACGTACAGCAACATATCAGATATCCATCGAATCGTGTAAAAGCCTCATCCTTGAGAACTCGTAGACACGCCTCAGTCGATTGCACAGATGTCGCCTCGTCGTTGATAGAAGGCGGCGCCTCTGGCGGCCCGGTGAAGTACGTTACTCGAACCCCTGGAGGCAAGTAAGACGATAGATTCTGCTCCAAGCCATCCGTGACAACTTGGGAAGAATTCGGGTTGATGACCAAGAGCGATAGTGACTCGCTCGGTGCTGAACTTGACATCGCAATGCAAGAAGGAACTAGAGGACTCGGCATTGGGCAAGGACCGTTCCCGAGTCCCGTGAACTTGTCCGAAATCGTCCGATGTCATTCGAGCTGGTATGTAGTATGTAGGTGATACACCGAGATCTAGAAACTTATATGCACTATGCGATACTTGACAATTATTTCTAGCGGACTGTCTGTTCCGTAGAGGAACACATAGAATCTGCGCACAGAAACGCAGAACAAGGTGACTAAGGAAAAAAATGCAGAGACGCGACCAGAGCGAACGAATGAGCGACGAATAATAATAACTCCCATTAACCCACATCCCAATACCCCCCAGCCCACTCAAGCCCTCTTCTCCCCAACGCTTCCTTCGCTGCTTGCCTCCGTCTTCCTCACATGCGTCATCGAATGGCGCGGCTCCCTCCCGCCGCTCGCAGCATTGTCCCCGTGCGCCTCTGCGTACACCCTTTGGCCACCGGGCCCGATCTCCGCCTCGAGCCCGACATAGTCGTACGCAAACTCGCCCATCTCCGCGTCGTCCACGCCGAGGATCTCCGTCTCCTCGTCGCAGCGCAGGCGGAGGAACCCGCCAGGGAAGTAGTGCATGAGCCAGAGGATGATCGTGGTCATGACGAACGAGTACCCGAGGCCCGCGCACGAGTCGGCGATCTGGTAGCCGAGCTGCACCCAGTGGTGGTCGAGCCACCCGCCTGGGATCTCGGTGAGCCCGTCGAAGCCAGCCACGGATGCTTGCGCGAACAAGCCGGTCAGGATCTGCAGTCCGTGTGTGTGAGTCCGAAGGTTCACAAATGGGGGTGCCAGGTACTTACGTTACCTACGACACCGCCGATCGCGTGCGAGGCGAAGATATCGAGACAATCGTCGTAGCCGAACAGGAACTTGAGCTGGGTGGCAAAATTGCACACTGTACCAGCCATGAAGCCGAAGAGGACCGCAGCGGGCGAGCCGACGTAGCCCGAGCCAGGCGTGATGGCGACGAGGCCGGAGATGGCGCCGGAGCAGAAACCAACGGCGGACCACTTGCGCTCGAGGCGATAATCCTGTACCGAAATTAGCGGTGAAAACGCGCGATGGGAGACCGAAACGTACCCAGAGCATCCAAGTCAGGCCGCCGACGCTTGCCGCCAAGTTGGTGACGATGCACGCCTGCACGGCACGCAAGTTCGCGCTCAACGCACTGCCGCCGTTGAATCCGAACCAGCCGAACCAGAGGAACACCGTGCCCAGAATCACGTAGCTCGTATTGTGCGGCTTGTACGCGAGGCGCTCCGTCCCGTAGCCCCTCCGCTTGCCGAGGTAGATGGAGATCGCGAGTGCGGCGGTACCGGACGAGATGTGCACGGGCGTGCCACCCGCAAAGTCGAGTCCGCCCATGACGAACGACCAGCCGTTGGCGTTCCACGTCCAGCACGCGATCGGATCGTACACAATGGTGCTCCAGATGAAGATGAATACGGCTACGGGGCCGAGCCGGCTGCGCTCGGCGACGGCGCCCACTGCGAGGATGGGCGTGATGGCGGCGAACATGAGCTGGAACACGCAGAAAGCGATGGACGGGATCCTTGTTGACCCGATACTGGGCTTCTCGAGCACGCCCTTCAGACCAAAGTACCGCAGGTCGCCAATGTAGGCTGAGCCGGTCTCGGAGAAGGCTAACGAGAAGCCCCAGAAGAACCATTGGAAGGAGACCACGGCCAGCGAGACCATAGATAGGTATATCATGGACAGCGCGTTTTTGCGTCGAAGCAGGCCGGAGTAGAAGAAGCCGACACCTGGAATCATGATCATGACAAGTGCCGTAGAGGCCAGCACCCAGGCAATGTCGCCTAGGTTGTATACAGAGGTCATGCCCGTCGAGGGGTCATACCAATTAATGTCGTTCGCTGTGAAGTAAAAGCATGTTCATTAGATACCGGACATTGGGCAGATAATAACAGAATCAGAATGGTGCGTGGACTCGATATTGGGTTGAAGATCATCGCCCGCCCTGTCACTTCCTCGCGGCAAGGGAAGTGCGCATTGACGGTACTCAGACTTGGCACGTCAACACCATTCCGGTACCTGAGCGGAAGACTTGGAAGGGCGTCTGCAAGCTCGACAACGGTTCCACCGCTTATTCTCGAAGACGACCCTTTAGCCACCCGCGGTGTATCATCGAATCCCTTCAAGACAGGAGTACTGGGTCTCCGTCAAGAATGAGCTGTCCACCGCCCTCTGTCCCGCTCCAACTCGCGGACGACCTGACCAGTGACCTCCCAACTGAGGGCTGTCAACACACGTCTGGAAGACGTCGGTCTCCGCCCTGAGAAGTGACAGCACACTCTTGATTCGACCTTCTGTCACCCGCCGTCTGCTGTAGAAGCCTTCTGAAAGAAGTCGTAAAGAACGAGCTGTCCAGCCCGTTCCCTCCGGAACCGAGAACAAATGGAAGAGTATTGAAATAAACACTCACAGGCGTCGTATGTAATGTTGACCATGGTGCCCGACTGACGCAAGACAGCGCAGAAAAGGTGTGCGGGCGGTCAAGCGACAAAGAGGACGTCGATGTCGAGAGGAAAGGGAAAGAACCCTGGCGCGTAACGATGATAAATACTGATGGGCCTCCTTCCACGCTGTCGCATCGTTGACAGACCGCTGCGTGCCAAGCGGTCCCGAAATGCGATGCTTTCGTTATCGCCCAATTGTAACGAGTATTCTTATCTTCGTTATGGGCGCCCCGGTCTCTTACCCGCCGCCAGAATTGCCTTTCCTAGCCTCCGTATCATGCAGGATCTTGATTCCCCCACGCCAGGAACAGACGGGACTCTCAGGAACATCGTACGGGAGTCCCGACATTGCTCCTGCTGATCATGAGCCCTTTGTGTGGCAGAAGGCAGTGAGACTTCGAATTCAAGTCGGACTTGCAGTTATCGCTCGGCAAGGAAAGTGGCGGGTGCGATTTCGGTGGCTTTGCCCCGCCACAATGCCGCGGGGCATGAATTTTCGGCATTTGCCATATGCAGATGCCTGAAAGTCGAGGCTGCTCACGAAAGGTTGGCTGTTATCAAGCTTTCATGCCTCTAGCTTGCCAAGCAGCTGCTACGACATGAAAAGCAATATGAATCACCAAGTCCAGAGTAGTAGCTCGGTACACTTTGCCACTGTGGTCACGCAAAGCCGGGATGCTCCAACGCGGGTCTTCGCCTTACGATCGTGCAGCCGTTATCTACGCTGCCTTGCCCCTTTCTTTCAGTCCTAACCTTGACAGGCATCACTTTTATACGGCGCGGCTGCTCGGCTTTATTCGGATTCACGGTTTGTTTTTGCTTCCACTACGACAACCGATCGTTGCTCAACATTCTCGCAAACAGACGCTGATAGGGAAATCGTATTCAAGGATAGGTAAAATGGATGCCGCCAACGACGAGATGATCGGTCTCGCATGGAGACCGGGACTCCATCGGGTGCCGTATCCTGTACATGTCTCCGTGACATCCCGAAACTCGAGCATGACGCGTCTTGAATCACCCAAACTCAAGACGCAGGGAATGAGAGGAAACGTCGCCTTGACGTGCCTCGTTCCTGCGTGTTATTAGGTGCTATTCCAAGATCGCGGAATACTCGCGGTCCTACCTCCCTTGGGCATGCTTCTTGACTTCTACGTACGTTTGAATCCGTTCCACCACTCCCGCAACGTGGCCTCTGTACATGTGAGAGACTGAACTTACTCACTGCCCTATAGTATATATAGCGGAAACGCATCTGCGTCTGACCGGTTAGAAAGAGTTGTCATCATCTAGTCTAGCCGTCTTGCTGTCGGCGTGCGGGAGTTTCTGGCGCCGCTGGACCTTCCCGAGCTATTCACGTCATCTCGAAAGTCGGACGAGCAGCGTGGCCGATGAGGTCCGCAGGGCTTAAAACCATAATTCATCTCGTCTCTGTATATCACTCCACGGTGGAGAAGTCGTCCCGACTGATACACGACATCGGTGTGTCTCATATTTTTCTACGTTGGAAATCGACTCGATCATATAACGCGCCTCTCGATCTCCGAGAATAGCGACAGGGGTGTAGGCTCAGCTGAGCATAAATCTGACCTAGTAACCCTCGAAACCGGTTACATTTGGTGAGCCTTCCTTCACACACGCCGGAGACACCTGCTCGATATTTCGAGGGCCTTTGATTCAGGGTGTGAACCCGACAGTGACGGTTGCGGCCATGCACTGGCAAGACTCCGCCGCTGGTACACGGCACCATATTCAGTAAGAAGCCTCGAGCGTGCAGCGCGCATGGACTGCGAGGCTCGAGCCTGCTGCAGATCGGATTTGTGACTTGTGCACCCGTGCAGTTGTCTCAGGTATGTTTAATGTATTTCCCCTATTCTTTGAGTCAAAGACGCCGTCGGATATCCATATCTGGGGCGGGGGACATATGGCAAAAGAACACAACGCACTACAGCTCTATCTCCTTGCATATTCTACGTATCTTTGACCCTTCCATATTTCAGCGGGCTATGCCAGCCGCAACAACATGTCACAAATATAGGACAGGTACGTACTACGTACGAGCCAGTAGAAGATTCTACTCCTTGCGTACGATGCCCAAGCAGGCAAACAGATACAGAACACATAGGCTAATGTATTTACTACCTTGAAGTGAATATCTACCTCGGGGTGGAATCCGGCCGTGTAGAGGCTCGTTCATGGCTTAAACAGCTACGATATCCTTGTCCTGGCTACGAAATCCTCTTCGTGACTATGATACATCTCTTCCGGACGCACTGATTTTTTCTCCGTACAATCCACATGACTACATAACAGGTATTGCCAGGGTAAAGAACAAAAGCCAGAACTGGCGTCGAATCAAGGGAGGTCACGTGATTTGCGTGCCACCTTTTTATGACAAGTTAAACGACATAATCGGATTCGACCAACTTTCGATTCAAATTGCTGCTTCGAAATACAACCTTGCGAGTTAATCTCCTGCTGGCCTCAGAACAGCGTGCTAGGACGTCACAAGTGAGGGACACGAAAGAGAGCAGGGACCTGAAACGCGACAGCCGTTACTTTGACGGTTGAGGCCCAGGAATCGGCCCCTGGTTGTAAACTTGCTTTGCGTGAGTGACCAGACCGTCCGATTCAAGTTCTATCATTTGCTATGAATTCTTCCATAACAGGCCTACGACTTACATGGAAGAATACCCGGTTTCACAGCCCGATAACTCGAGCACGGTAGTTATACCAGCGGTGCATCTACTACCTGCGGAACTGCTTTCGCAAGTGTTTGAAGAGTTGCTCGATCAGCGAGACTCCTTCGAATATCAACTTGGACCGTGTTTCACGCCTCTCGTCCTTAGCCAGGTCTGTCATTTGTGGAGGCGATGTGCCTGTTCCACTCCGAAGCTCTGGCGCCGTATACACGTCTCGGGTAACGTCTATGGTCGTCCCCTGCGGACGCTTGGTGGCTTTAGTAATTTGATGGAATCATTCATGGCTCGAGCCTCTGGGCATACAATACAGCTATCCTTTGAGCTATTCAGCAAGCTGCCCATGGATAGCAAGGAATACACCGATTCATGGAGGTTCTATATGGCCCGTTCTCAGTCCCTGATGTTCGAGGATGCGGCAGATCTCTTGCAGTTGTTCTTCCACTCCCCATTTCAGCAACCTCTGCTGGAGGATTTGTCCATATGGTGTAGTGGTGACGAGTTTACTGACATCCTGCCCTGTATCATTGCCCCATCACTGCACCATCTCGTTGTCTCGTCATTCCCTCGTCCCAATGGCAATAACCAATCTCTTATTTTGTCTGTGCTATCTCTGTTGGAAATATCCGGGTGCCGATTGGAAGTATTGGACCTCGAGTGTATCGATATTATCAGGGACGGGGATGAACTTTACCAGCTGCTCAAAGCCGTCCCGTCTCTGGTTTCCCTTACTCTGCGTGGTGCATACAATGTCCCTCCGACTGCCATTGGCCATCTTCTATGGCCACTTGTGCATAGGGAAGATCAGTCCAGCCAGTACCTTGTTCCTCTTCTGCGCCGATTATCTCTCAGCTTGGAATTGGTGGTGGCAGATGATCACATGGACCGGGATGTAACAAACATTCTTCATCTCCGGCAGTCCTCGGAGTTTTCTATGGCCAGTCTTGAGTGGGCTGTGATAACTGTTGACGAATGGGATGAGCGGGAATGGCAGTGGGAGGTTAGGCCTGGCACCGAGGGTATCATCAAGACTGGCCAGGCATTGGCTTCAGACAGCTTCACTCCCTGACTCAAGCGGGATCAAGCACTCTCTATTGTATCGCAATATCTGGATTAGATTGGAGAGTTGTTTCGGAAGAGGTTAAATACTCTTGCCATTGATGATCCCAAATGTATGACGAATGGAACAATATAGCTGTCACTGATGATCACTACCGCGTAGATTCTGATGAGCGTCAAGAACTCTACGTTTGCGAACGAGATCCTACGCTGCTCTTGAGCACGCGAGACGCTCGTGCAAATAACGACTGAAAGGAAGCTCAGAAGTCTGCTTCTGTTATTCAGGAGGGAGACATTAATCATCATAAGACACGAGACGGGGAATCCACCTTGACGTGATGTCTTACTCAGATGGATACCTGCGTAACTGCACGAACCGATGCGAGAATAGAAGATCCTGCGGTCATCGCAGCTTCAACACCTTCCAGATATCTATAGAGATCGCACCTCCCAAGGGGCGGCGTTCAACCATTGCGTCGGGACGCCCAACGCAATGGTTGGATGCCGCCAAGAGACACTTTACTGAACGGCCCGCAAGCCTCGAGTCCGACGAATTGACGAACATATACCGACTGACAGCAGTACCAGTGGACGTTGTATAGTGCGTGCCACATCTACTCCGCAAATTGATTCCCTGGTGAAGGTACGAGGACCACCTTATTCAGGTGGCTTACTTATTAAGGGCGGATCATCATTCAGGAACAGAGCAGGATTCCATAGACCCTAGCAGTTAGACAGATGTATAGGAGCCGACTCATAATGGACAAGTACACAAGTGCCAGATGAGGGAGGCAAGGTCAATTTAGCGGGCAATAATGCGGAGAGGACCATCTCCCCTTTCCGGCTCGTCGTTGAATGAACAGTCCAGTGGCAGAAAGTACGCGACGAGGCTGTAGCAACCCCAGCAGAAGCTGAATCGCAGAAGGGCTCTTCGAGTTCTATGTTTGTCGGCGTCTGGCACGGTCACGCCCAGAATAAGTTTCGGATCTTCCACTGCGTTATACTCAATCCATGTTCCCTGCCCAGTGGCCCTGGGAGCATAGGGCCCAGATGTAGGCTAAATCCAGGAGCGCCTCTGCAGCGAAAAGCGCGCAAAGTGGAATGCGAGGGGACCGGCGTATGCCGAGTGGCCCATTACGCCTCGGGAATTCCCGGCTTCTTTCCCCGCAACACATGGCCGGGGTTCTCTTTACACTCGCCCAGATCCCGCGACTCGAGCAGCCTTTGGATCAGGCCAGCCGCTGGCCCAGGCTGTCTGACAGACGACGGCGGCGACGATATAAAGCACAGCGAGCTCGACGCGCGCCCTTTTATTTTCCCCCGCAGAACCCTGACAGAGCTGGGAACGCACGTCGGAGTCGGACAAACACAATCACTGCTGCTTCTGGTACGTTGTGTTCGCTACGATTCCATAACCCGGGGCGTATGACTGACTGCTGCCCCACACCTAGCCTGCTTCTACATATAGACGTCAAGTTCCCCCCCTTACACGCCCGGCTCCAACCTCTCCCGCTCGCCTCGCACGATCAGGTCCCTGCGTTACTGTACTCAGGCTGCTGCTGCCGACTGCGACGACGATGAGCGACACAGCTGCAGCGTCGGCCGTGCCCGGCCATATCGACCTCGAGCTCCCGCGCCCCGGGACGGCGTCGTCGATGCCGCCGTACCTGCGCGAGGCGGAGCCGCACCATTACCGCCGGATCGACGTGCTGGGGACGGCGCCGGCGTCCGCGCGGACGTCGTTCACGAAGGTCAACGAGACGCGCCCGGGGTCGGTGTCGGAGGCGGAGGGGGTCGTGGATGTGAATACCCAGGGGGAGGGGCAGGAGGGGGAGACGGAGCAGGAGCAGGAGCAGGCGCAGGAGGCCGTGCCGCAGACGCCCAAGTGCTCGATCACGTTCTTGCTGGTATCGGGGAAGAGGAGGCAGATGTCGTTCGAGCCGGAGACGACGGTCGGGCGGGTGAAGGAGCTGGTGTGGAATGCGTGGCCTAACGGTGGGGTCTGGAACAGAGTTACGAGTACTCGTTGCTGACGCCAATTTAGACTCGGAATGGAACGACGAGCGTCCGCCGGCGCCGTCATTCCTACGGATACTCCATCTGGGAAAGATACTCCAAGACGACGATACCTTAGCCAGTGCGTACCCTCCCAATCCACCCCATCCTCATATTAAATATCACTCATTTTCTCACCTCATATGTAGAGCTCAATTTTCCCGCATCAACCCCCTCCTCCTCGGGCGAGCAAGTCCCCTCAACGATCGTGCACCTCTCCATCCGGCCGTACGCCCAGCCCAGCGAGGACGAGACGCTCAAAAAGAAGGGCCGGCGGAGACGGCGGGGCACGGATACGACCTCGGGGGACGGTGCAGAGGGCGAGGACGACGGCGCCGGGTGCTGCAGGTGCATCATCTGCTGATGAGGCGAGTCGGCCTCTTTCATTGTTGCACTCTGACTGCATGCTCATGCACAGCGCCTGATTCAGCCTGGGTTTTCTTCGGGTTCCGGTTGCGTGTGTGTTTTGCTTCCGCCCAGACGATCTTCCCTTTCATTCCCGATTGCATGTTCCCCCTGTCCGTGGATTGCTTTCCCGACATCTGTTTGTTTGTTTGCTTTACGACTACTCCAGGATCCCCCGCGTAATCTATGCTTTACCCGTGTACATCAGGTTCTATATCCGCATCTCGAGATATCCTATCCTATCCAATCCTATTCCATTCTCTTCGCAGGATGGAGTTCATGATAACGTCGACTGCGTGGGTTGGGACCCTGTTTCGTGTCTTCCGATACTGGCCTGTGGCTTGTATTACATTGGTATATGCGCTCGGGGGGTGCTCAGGGTGCGTATAATCCCGTTGACTGAACCTTGAACCCTAGGCGTGCGGATCCGGACGAGAAGCCGTGGCGTCCGAGGCTCTCTAGCAGCCCTCCTCTTGCAGGAGGAGCAGTCGCTGTCGGTCGTCGTACAGTATGGTCTGTGGCCTGCTTTCTACAGGACTTGAGCTCCTTGACTTTGCAAATGTAGGAGAGCGACAGCGCTGGAGTGAAAACAGCGAGAACGGAACCGGACGCGTGCGAGGTGCGCGCCACAGAGGACTCTAAATCGGAAGACATGAACCCGACTGTGTCTGAGTCGCAAGCCAAGGTATGTCAACTCGCGTTGTCCCTGCGAAATTCATCGTTGCAGCGGGTTATATTGCCTGGTTGCCCGGATTCAGGAAAAAAAGTCAGAGAAGAAGCAGAGAAAGGCCAGGAAAGCAAATGCCGCGTCTGCAGAATTCGAAGCCGATGCATCAGCGAGCGACGGAGGGCCGCAGCAACCCCCCTCGTCGTCCAAGGTATGTAAATTCCTGTGCTGTTTCTTCTTCCATCGCCGCCGGCTGCATCCCGGTCAAGCCCCAGATGACATGGTACTTTTGCGGGATGAAAGTCGACCCCGCGTCGCCGCACGCGCGGCTGCTCGACCCGTTCACGGACGCGGCGCACCGGGAGATGCGCGCACGCTCGGACGGGTTCGTGCCGACGACATGGGAGGCCTGCGGGCCGCTCGTCCAGGCGGCGAAGGCGGACTATGGGAGTAACCCCTTCCACAAGGAGTTGCGCAAGTATAAGTGCATTGTGATCCCGGAGAAGATCGCGGGCGGGGTGAACGTGGTGATGAGCAACCTGGGGGTGTCCATGCCGCTGAAGGAGGGTGCGTGGCGTGCTGATGGTATGGTGGTGTTGCGCAGGGAGCGTGATGTTCTTGCCGGCGGTGGATATGCCCCCGGATGTGTTTACGAATGGAAACGCGGATCCGGTGGCGCATTTCTTCGTGAAAGACCCGGAGACGCGCGTGTCTGCTGCGATGTGTTACTGGGAGCGCGTAGAGGGGGTGTTCCTGCCGCAGTAGCTTTTCTCAATGGTGGTGCGCTCAGCGTCTTTTAGGCCATTAAATGCCGCGTGCAAAGCAATTCATTGTTCCGCGAGCATATTTCAGAGATCGCAGATATAAGCAGCTCCTGTGGCAGAATCCGCATTCGCATGTCCCAGACACCACTTACGCTGCTCACAAACGTGGATTTTACCCCCCCCCCTCCAGGCTCCAGCTGAGCAGTCAAGGTACGGATCGTCAGAATGTCTCCCAGGCAGTTCAACAAGTCGATCCAATAGTGAACTCATTCGACTGCGTCTTCCACTTCCAACTTGATTGTCAGCAACTGGAGATGGCCGGGCGTTCCGACTCTTCAGAGTACTCCGATATATGTACCATCTCGACGTCGGTCTTGGTAAGTCCGGGTATCCAGATTCCCAATGCCATCGAGGACCGCGTCTGGAGAAATGGACAAGCCTATAACAGCAACCCTCTGGACATGGCTGACTCGGACCATCAGGTAGGTAGTGCTACCGCCATCGCTGAATACGTGGCTACGGCCGCGAGTCAGACAGCGGATCCGATGTTACAGGATGCGAAAGCAGACTTGGGAAGTCGGTGCCTCTCCGAGCCGTATTTGCCACAAGACTGTATAGTCTCTGACAGTATCCTACTTCGCCCCCACCATCCCAAACACCGTCAATCAGAGACAACCCGGCGGCGGCGGTAGGCATATCTCGGGATTCACAATTCGTGTCACTGGCCTTGGGGCCGTCATCGGCTAACTATGAGACTCGCGTCATGGCGCATAGAGTATTGCAGCTCACGCTGCAATACTCTCCTAAGTACCTTTGGGGCCATGAAGTCCTCGACGGCATCGTGACATTATTCGAATCAGCTTCGGTCCCTCAGTCGATGTGAGAATACAGGACAGTATGCACGTGGGTCGTACTTACTACTCGGATTCCAACACCCTGACTATATCTTCCATCCCAGGTCTGGCACGCCACTCCAGAGCAGGCCTGTCGAAGGAACCGGCGACGTGTATATCGACTGTTTCGAGCTTCGCGATGGCGCACTCCCCCCTCAGCCTGAGGGCAAGCACATGTGACAGGTTCTCCTCATCAACGCAGTCCTCGATGTCGCGGGTCACTAAGCGGATGTCTAGCTTCTCGAGACGCGGGACTGGAAACTGACTAGTCGCGGGGTCCCGACGGACGAGCGCGCCAAGGATTTCATCCAAACGAGTCCCAGAGACCAATGCCCCAACAATGGACAGGGAAGCCAATGAAGGGACTGCCTTGAGTATATTGTAAAGTTCCTGCTCCGACTCAAAGACATTGAAGCAGGCGATGTATAGCTTTTGAAGACGTTTGCCCGACACCGCAAGCATAGCAGCGAGGGATACTACGAGAGGCGCACCGGGGGAAGGCGATGGAGCCGTGACGCTCAGATTTCGCAGTTTCGGCGCGATGATTGCGGGCAGGACGGTAATGAACCAGTCGCATCGGAATGTTAGCTCTACCTCCTCCAGATTTGGAAACGACGTAACGGGCATTTGAGATTCGTCGTAGTCAATGAAGTGCAAGGCCAGGGACTTGAGTGAGCTGCGTTGCTCCCGAAGGAGTCGAATGATGGACTGGTTGAGGTCTACCACCCCCAGGGAGAGACCGGTGAGCTGAGAAGCAGAAATACCAATGTCAAGCGAATCGCTGGAATGAAGACGGGGCAGGAACAGACTTTTGAGCCGCGGAGTCCGAATGCCCGTGAGAGATAAGATAGGGCCAGCTCATGTACGACTACTATCACGTGACTATTTTTGTCACACTTGGCGGGGAAAGCACGAAGTCGGTCTTATAACTTTGAGCACAGGTAGAAAACCACAGATGTTTTTTATAAGAATCAAAGATACAGTACATACAAACAGTTCCTATAAAAAACATTTGAGGATCTCGACCCATGGAAATTATAATAAGCTCGACAGTGGTGATTTCTATCGATGATCTCCTCGATTTCCTTACACTGACCTGCCATATATAGGCAAAGCACGTGATTGTCACGGTGTGACCAAGGTAGTCGTGTATGGACTGGCCCTATCTTACCGAGATGAGGGGGGAGTGGAAGTCATTCACGTAGTGCATAGCTATAGCTTCGAGAAACGGTAGTTCGGTCGTGGTCTGGAAGAGCAGCTGCAAAATCTGCGTCGTTCCTTTGAGCCGCAACAATTTGCAACGGGAGATACATGTTCTCCAGGTTTTCAGGCATTCTCGGACACCCTCAGGAGGTACTATGTCCAGATCCAGGGAAACCTCCATGGGATATGTTCCCGAGCGAGCGATACACAGTTCCATTAGGCTTGCCGTGGCCTTGTGCTCTGGTAGAATGCGTAATTCGGTAGCTTTATCCAAGGCGGGGAGGGTCATAGGGAGGTTGTGATGAGTGATGGCCACATCGCACCAGAGTATTGAGGTAGAACACGCGCACTGCCTCCAGCGACGGCAGACATGTGTTAGAATTAATGGCATAAATTGTGGTCCCAACCTATTTTCGCCAGGCGCTTGCATTCCACGCACGTCCACGAATACTTTGGAGAGCAATTCGACGGGTAGGCAATGCACCGCTGGCACTTCCATGGAAACAGCACTTTTTGGCGAGTGTTTTTCAGTTGACTGCGAAGAGCTCTGGTTACTCTAACACATTCGAAGCGTATCGCAGTTGATCCACTTACCAGGGGAAGGGCGTCGCAATTATTTACTCGTGGGTGCTAAAAACAAAGGTGCGCCTACTGACGTGCATAAGTATTGGATTATCCCCCGGGCCGAGCGGCCGGATGGTACCTACGGTGCGTTACGCCTGATCTCAGCGGGTCGTCACTCCATAGTAAGACGGGATGCCTCCGCAGCTGAAGAAATCATGATACTGTACACCCTTGAGGAACAGCTCAAGCGGAAATGCCAAAACTAACGCCCGATATCATTAATGCAGCCGCAAGTCTTCTGACCGTCTGTTCCGCCGCGCGCAATCTCCGGAAGCTTGAAGTGTTGTCTTCTGCAGCCGAGACTCGACTGCGATTCCAAGTATTCGCGACCAATGCTCATTCTCCCGACGTAATATTTATCGGGCAGAACACCCGTAGCCGCCTCAATAACCTGATAAATGTGGTATTTATGGATTTGTACAGTTCCTGTACATCCGAGTCCTGCGGCGCTGTACGTCTGTGCACGGATTACCTGAATCCTCGGCTGGTGGTTTGCAGGGCGGTATTAATGTGAGTGAATTATTTAGTGCTCACTCTTGATCGAAGTGGAACCCCCTGATGATACCTTCCGTCCATGGTGTGACATGCCAGCCTAGCGCTGGCCCTTCGCCGTACATCCCACTACTAATCATCTGTATGCCAACCAATTCCAGTTTCGCGACAGCGTACTCGGCCTTGCCCCGGGCATCCCGACGTAGCGGCTTGACAGCGCGACTTCCGAGGTAGGACATCTATACATATCTAAAAAATGTTGCACCTGAGACGACCACAAGGATTTTTCGTTCGCTCATCGGTCCATACAGTTACGCAGGTATTCCCCCTGAGTAATACATCTCGATGAGGTACGATTCCCGTTTCCTGATGATTAATTTCTCTTCATTAATAACAGAAGCAGACGGCTGGATGCCCGTCATTAGAGCCGCAAGCGTCTCACGTTCTATCGCAGAGAACCCACATGACGTCGTCTGCAAATGGAGAGTTGCTGATTCTCATGTATACCCTACAGCCCGACTGTGCACCTGGAGATGACATGCGGCACGAAATCGTACGGTATATTATCCATTTCACAATCAGGAATATACCGGAGTATCCTAACGTTTGATGCACCTACAGTCGTAGACACAGTGGTTTGGCTGAATAAATAGCACGCCGCTCAAGCGGAATCGCTGACCCGGGGACCAACCGGGGACAGTGACAGCTCTCAATAGAAGCATCTGGTGGTTCGACTTATGACATACGCCACCCAGCCCGATTGTCGAGCACACTACCCTCTGCGCCCCGGCTGTCTACGCCGAATGGCATCTCGCGGCAGAGAATATTTGGCGCAGCGTAGGCTTGGGATTACTGCGGATCTATAGGTATCCTACGGATAGTGCCAGTGGGAGCTAACGACACGCAGATGACCATCCCCGCAAGCTAGTCAGCCCCGCCAAAGGTACAGATATCCAGGCAGATGCACAGATAGTTGCGGCAGTACTATGTCCCCTCGAAGTCAAATTTTCTCCCATTTCCACTTGGGGTTACAGATTCTTCCCGTTGGCGATTACTAGGTCAGTTCCTCTGTTTGTACGAGAGAGGAACGTGCGTTTGGCACGTTCGAGACTGCTCGCATCTAACGTAGAACACAACGGCGACAGGAACTTCCACACAGCGACACGTACACCGCAGCTCTATGGCGGTCCGCAACGTTACAGAGGATACTGCATCACACGGTGAGTTATGCCTGGCGCAACGCGGATTTTTGCTGAGGCGGAATGCCTCCGTAGGTGCAGAAACCACTGATACACCTATCGAGCAGAGAAGCTCAGGTGGGAACGTCGAAAGGAACGCTAGGGCGTCGATCAGTCAGTATCCTGGTAGTCTCCTCCGTCGTTCGGATTTTAGTGGGATCTCCGGAAGCTCAAATGTCGTTTTCTGCAGGTTGGACTTGACACCAAATTCTCGACACGCGCACCGATGGCCGTGGTCCATCACGAGATGCTCACTCCCGGCGACCCTCTCGGCGCCGTCGCATGCGACGAAATGTTCATAGACGACGACCCCCTAGCCATCTCAATAACATGGCCAGCTGGTGTACAAAAATCTATACAGCCGGCCGTCCATACCACCGAGTGCGATAGCAGGCCCGCACCTGCGATAAGCCACAATGTGAGAAGTGGCGGTAATGTCATCGGGGCTACTAATTAGAACGCTGTCGCTGCTCGCACTAGTTGCATCGGTGAAGAGGTACAGGTGCTGACATCACGTTATGATCTCATGGCTGAGTAACTGCAGTCAGACTGATACGACGTCTCAGACGATGAATAATTAATGATAAAAGTTCCAGATCATATAACGCGGTGAAGGTGTTGATACCTGATTATCCTTACCCTTGCCGATCTCGCGAGCTATGTCATGAAGTTCCCAAGAATGCTATAACAACGGTCAGCATACGTCTCCGCATCCTGGAACAACGAATCTTTTTCCCTGTTCAACCGTGAGCTTGCAGGGCGGTACAGTGAGTGGATAGAACTCACTCTTCGTCGAAGTGGAACCCCCTGATGATACCTTCGATCCACGGCCTGACGTGCCAGCCTGACGCTGGCCCCTCAGGCATCCCACTACTGATCTGCACGTCAACCCTTTCCAGTTTCGCCACAGCGTATTCAGCCTTCCGCCGGAGGTCAAGCACCTCTGACAAGCCTTCGTCATCCGCGCACCCGTCTATAGCGGCCGTCTCTATGTTGATGAATAGCTTCTCTAGATGCGGGACGGGGAACTGGTTCGACGCTGGGTCTCTGCGGACAAGAGCGCGCAGGACTTCGTCCAGCGGGGAGTCCCAAAAAAGTACCCCCTGTATCGAGAGAAAGACCAACGACGGAACCGCCTTCAGTATTCCATACAATTCCTCCTCGTGTTCGATGACATCACAGGATTGAATGATTAAGTGCTCAAGCTGACTACCTGACGCAGCAAGCATAGTCGGGAGGACCACGCTGAGAGGCGGGGAAACAGAGTTGTGTGCGGTGCTGACGTGTAGGGTTCGCAAGGCCGGTGCAATGAACTTGGGCAGGACGACGTCATACCCACGGCTCCCAAAGGATAGACTGGCTTTTTCAAGAACCGGAAAGGTGATGGGAGGCATCTGAGACATATCGATACTCCCCGGCGACAAGGCCAGGGACCTTAGCGAACTGCATTGCGCTTCGAGGAGTTGGACAGTGGATGAGTCGAACGCCATTAACATAAGGAATAGTTCAGTGAGCTGACATGGAGGAATGCTAATAGCAGCGGAATCTTTGAGGCCCAAGCTGTATAGGATGAAGAAAGTAAGCCGTGGCGTCAGCATGATCGTGGGGGCGGCAGTGTTGGAGGTGTTAATGAAGGCCAGAGACTCGAGCACGGGCAGCTCCATTGGGTTCGGGAATATCATGCACAGCATCGCCGGTGTCAGTTCAAGCCGCATAGAGCTGCAGCGGACAAAGCATGCTCTCCAAATTTGCAGGCATTCATTGAAGCCCTTTAACAACTCTATGTCGTAGGACAGAGTCAGGGAAATGCGCATCGGTAGGGTTCCCGACCGAGCAAGACACAGTTCCGCCAGACTTGTTGAGGATCGGAATCTTCGGAGAATGCACACCTTTGAAGGAATCTCGGCGATAGAGCTGGGGTCACGATCTTCAGTGACGGCTATGTCATGCCACAGTTCCGGGATTGAGCAGGCGCATTGTCTCCAGCGTTGACAAACGTGTGTCAGAATGAAGGGCATAAACTCTCGCCCAAGCTCCTTCCCCTCGAGTTGCAGGTTCAAGAATATCTTCGAGAGCAACTCCATAGGCAGGTTGTGCACCGGTGTTTCAGGCGCCAACTCGACACATTTTGCGGTAGGAATGTTGGCCTGCGCTGACTGAAATGCGCCCTCGTCACTCTCAGCATGGAGTAAAACATTAAGCAACTGGTTCACATACCGACATGACAGCTTCACCGGTCATGGCTGCAAGAGATCGCAATGTCAGACAAGATCACTCCGGGTCCCACCTGCAGCCGGTGTCCTCGACGTTCAGTGAAACCGCTGTTGCTGAGGGACAGAATACTTAAGCTAGCTGGCACTATGGCAGTGGTACGCCGCGTTGCTATCGTTACTACAACGTCCTTGCAATACAGTCCGTTCGGACGTCCGTGACACATGCCGTTCCTGACTGAGAGCCATGCCACAAGTTCAGTCGACTCTGTAGAGCTTGCTAGACTTACTCACATTAATATTTGCAAAAGGCCCTGATATAGTGCGTCGAAGCTTCGAAGCCTCTTCTGGCCGTCACTCCAGACTCCAGATGAAGGACATTTAGTTTTTCCCGTCATTCATACCTTTGGTAGTGCAATCCGTCATGTGCTGTCCAAGGTTTTGGCTATGAACGATCTCTGCGAAGACGTAGTTGTCGTCTGTAGCAAGACAACAAAGGCTCACTCAGCACGTCTTCCGGGACAATGCAAAGATAGTAGATTACCTGTAGCAAGACAACAAAGGCTACAGGATACATGTAAGCAAACGGTAAACAAACGACAGGGTATGGCGCGCGTCTCACCTCACTCAGCACGTCTTCCGGGACAATGCAAAGATGAGGTTGGCGTACGAGACGCGCGCGGTACTTGTATGCTATGATACGTCTAGGAACAAAGATAACGATACCGTTGATATGAGTTTATCATAAGTCTAATAAGTGGAAATATCAAATAACGAGCGTTGCTGAGGTGAATCGTATGGAACTGTCAACAAGATACGATAGTCCAGAAAAGGCAAATGTCAGTTGCGAGGAATCCGGGCGCGTTTGTCTCTCCAACACAAGGCTGTCCGACGTGCGTTTGGCGTGCGCAGCAACCTAACTCAACCCGTAGGCATGGGGACATGTACAGCCTCGAACTGCCCCCGACCGGGCAGTCCATCTGCTTATAGCTCAGCGCTGAGTTGCTGGTCCTTGAACTCACTCAGGTATGCTACAGAATCCCATATGTAACAATTCTACGCTCACAGAACACATGACGACAATTCCACTATGACTTTTACACTGGGAGAGTGAAGGGTAGTATTTCCCGCTCCAGCCTCGCGGGGTGAGGCCATTGAACCGCCTAGCACGAGCTGTTTTGGGCTTCTGCGTGCATCGAGGAAGAGGCAATTCCTCTTTCTGATTGTTCCTTGACCAATGTTATAGTGTACCTTACAATGCGGCAGCCAGCACGCGTCAACCTGGGAGCTTATTATACGGTCCTCGTCCTCAAGTACTTCGTCATACGACTCCGCGCAGCTTCTGAATCGGTGCGATCAATCTGGGCGGAATGATATCGAACCAGTCGCCGTCAATTGACTACCGGGCCTCCTCTAAATTCTGGAACGTTAGTCCCGGGGATTGAGATAGGTTGCAGCCAAGGAGGTGCAAGCTCAGAGACGTGAGTGAGCAGGCATTGTTTCTCCAGGAATTGCATGATAGACGTATTGAGGTGTATTGAGTTCAGGGAAAGTTTAGTGAGCTGAGACGGAGAAATGTCAATGTCAAGGAGATCACTGTCATATAGGCGGACTGACAAGCTAGCAGTCCCATTCTCAACTTGAAAGCTATGGCATGAATATAAATATTACATGAAGACAAGCACCACTCGGTTATTGCTATCAGAAAGTATACAGTGGGTTGCAGTCTCGCAGAGGGCAACATACAGCAGTAATGTCTCAAGTCCGCAGGTGCGCTGATCATGCAACATCATAACCTCCGTCCTTCCGATAGTTCTCATAGGTCCTATTGTCAAGCATCTCCTTCAACCTCTGTATTTCGTCAGCATACTTCTGTGCCTCGTTTATCGACTTGGCGCTAGCCTTAGCTTGCATCAGGTTTGAGATTCTTCGCTCTACTTCTTTCCGTAGATCCTCGAGATCCTCCAAGTCTTGCCGCATCTTCATGAATGCTGATCTCATCTCGACTGCGACTGCCAGACGCGAATGCCCCCTTTCCACGACATACCATTTCGCCATCCCGGAAAAGCTGGATGGAAGCCGTAAAACCCACATCTTGCCATAATCCGAGCATCCCACTGCCTGTACTCCACAATGGTTGGCGTACCTGACCATCTGATGGGCCTGTGAGATGGTACCTCGTATGCCGGTATTTGACTTCTTATCTACTACAGCTTTTGCGGATTTCGAAAGTTGCCCTAGTATCGGAATGTTGTTATCTGCTATGACTTTGATTAGATCAGGTTGGATATATCCGCGTCTCTATGGATGATATTATTATCTGGGACCATTCTAGCAGCTGCTTGCATACCTTCATCTCAACTATGAATGCTCCTTTCCGACATTCTAGGGCACCCAATATGTTTATATCCCAGTATTTGTTGAACTAGGCGCTGACTTAGCTGCCAGGTTCTACAACGTACCAGAACGTACCGGAACCCTCTGGAATATTCTGGTATATTCCATTATTGTACAAGGGCACGGAGCTCATGTGGGTCAGTGCCATCATAGGTGGAGCTCAGTAGGATTATAGATATTCCACGTAGCTTAGTCAGCCTATGGGCCACAGTGTATATAAACCCTGCAGCTCTGCTGCCTAATGACAAGGGTCGTTTATACGAGCTTTACCAGTAGCTACAGCATCCACTCAATACAGGTGAGTTGTGTAGGGTGCACTGTGCGTGCTGCTGCCTCCATAACTCTTCATCAGTATTGACTATTGCCAAGGTACTTGTTGGTTCCCTGGCATTCTGGGATATCATCGTCTAGCGTTTTGGCCAATGCTTCATCAGGTTATGAGCCCAAGCAGGCAGCTTGCATCTGCACGGTAACTCGCTGCAGCGCGTTGCGCCTCGCTCACCTGTACATCGCCCTATGCGCCCTCACAGGCTGCAGTGTGGCTTGATGCGTGATCATCGCCGTAGGCACTGTTATCAGCAGCCATCAGGCTTGATGATCAATCCTGGGGTAACTCCCTGATGGAGCCAACAGCATGGAGCAGTGTGCCCTTATTGGGCTGCATAGCTTCACTGATACTGATGAGATCTCAATACAGATTTCAGATCTCTCAATCGCTCCTCAAACAATGTCGAACAACTTGATTGCTGTTGTCCCCATCCTCGACGGCTCGAACTGGTCGCTCTGGTCCCAACAGATGAAGGCGTACCTCATGTCCCAAGGCCTTTGGGGGCATTGTGACGGTACAATTATTATGCCTGACCCTGTTGTAACCACCTCCAAGGATGGCAGTACCAGTGAAGATACCTCTGCATGAGACGCCTGGAGACTGAATGATACCAAGACCATCGGTACAATTCGTCTTCAATGCTCCCCTGCCGTTGCCACCCTTATTCAAGACAAGACAATGGCTAAAGAAACCTGGAAGGAGCTCAGCTTCACGTATGGTATCTCATCTCTTGCCTCCATCTATAATGAACTGCGTGGGGCGTTAACTACCAGGATCCCGGCTGATCAACATCCTGCTCCCGCCTTCGCCAAGATCACCAAGCATTTTAATGCTTTGGCTTCTGAGAGCCAGACCATCCCTAACTGTCTTCAGGGACTGATCTGCCTCAATGCGCTCCCTCCTCGGTATGACTCTGTTGTTCAAGTCTTAGTCCAGGGATCGACATCGACGATGGGCTGTCGTCACTGCCTGGGAGCAATCCCAGTACAAGAAGACAACACAGCTAGGTGCACATAAGATTTCGGTGGTGAAGCGTAAGCCGGGTGATCCTTCCTTTTATTCGCAGCAGCAGCAGCGCCCTCAGGGCAGCAGCGGCAATGCGCGAGATGGGAAAAGGCGCCCTTATCGCGGCAAGCGCGCAGGCAAGAAGCGTCAAGGGCAAAACCACGATCACCACCATGCCCATGGCGTCTTGATCGCCTCGACCGTCTCCCTTCCTCCTCCGACCATCGCTCACATCCTCGACATCGCGCCTACTGGCAGCAAGACTCGGACGGTCAAAGAGCAAGGTCCGTTCCACCTGCCTCCTTCGGCAGATACTAGTCACTACCACAACAAGCGGATCAAGAAAGCCTTCAAGCTCGCGTGGGACCTCGACATAAGTCCCACTGAAGAGGATATCAAAGTCTTGGACGCTCTTGTCGGGCAAGTCGACCCGAACCCGGATGTTGACATGGAGGACGCTGACTCCATCGCCTCCAGCCGCGCGTCCAAGCGCACTCGCTTTGAAGGAGCTGCTCGCGCGGATGATGCTGCGGACAGCGACCACGACGACAACCAGTCTATCGACTGGGGTAGTGACAAGGACGTCTCGGTGACGAGGAAGACCTGGACCGCACTATCGCAGAGGCTGCTGGCTTCGACCAGAATGCCTTTATTGACGAGCACTACTCATACGTGCCATCTTCCCCTTTACAGGACTCCACTGACGCGCCATCACAGTTAGGGCAGCATAGTGTAGATCTTAATCTGAGTCCTGTAACATTGGCATTAATATATTGCACTCATGCGCAAACCTATGCTGCGTGTGCAAAATGTAAAGGGAAAGATAAGGCACAACAGGGTAACACCTGGATCCTTGACTCGGGGGCCTCTCGGCATTTTACTTATGACATGAGTGACTTCATTGACTTTGAGGAATTTAAGCAACCTGCAACCGCGTCTACCATGAACGGGTTTGCACAAATACTTGGTTTTGGTACGACTGTCCTGAATTATTATATCAAGGACGTCGGGAACATAACCACTCGGTTATTTCCAGTATACTATACACCTGACCTGAATATTCGCCTCATGTCACTCGGAGTATTACTCCAGGATAAATTGAAAGTGTCTGGCAATGACCGACACATAAGTCTATACGAAAAGGGATTGCGCAAACCTCTATTCAGGTTTTTACCGCGGCAACCTGGCGACACTATCTACAGTGTCAGTACAATTCCTGCACCGGATGCGTACTCTATATTCCCAACGATCTATGCGGTCGATTATGGGATTATGCACTGTCGCATGGGACACCCCTCTAAGGAAGTCCTGAGGCAAGCTAGGGAACACACCAAAGGTTTCCCCACCAATCTGGAGTTTCCTTCGGAAGACCCAGTATGCCCTGGATACGCGGAAGGCAAAATGCCTTCTAAGGCTTTCCCGCCATCCACTCTACGCGCGAAAGAACCATTTGAGTTAATTCATTCTGATCTTAAGACATTCCCCATAGACTCCTACCATAAGTATCGGTACACAATCGTCTTCTTTGACGACTACACCTCCTATGGATGGGTCATGCATATGCGCTCCAAGGGTGCTGCAATTGCTAAGACTCATCAATTCCTAGCCTACGTACAAAATCAATATGGCAGGAAAATTAAGGAGTGGATGTCTGATGCAGGGGGAGAGTATAAATCTGAAGCATTCATCGAGATGCTCAGAGATGAGGGCATAAAAATCTGACAAAGCGCACCTTATGCACACCAACAGAATGGTCGCGCTGAGCGCTTTATTCGGACTATAATGGACAAAGCGCAGTCAATGCGGCTAGAGTCCTGCTCACCTCCATCTTGGTGGGAATTTGCGGTAGACCATGCTGTTCACGTCTACAACCGGACCCCTTTGAAGCACCATCAATGGCAGACTCCTTATGAGGTCCTGAACAAGGAAGCTCCCGACATCAAGCACTTACGTGTCTTTGGATGCGGAGCGTATGTCTACCTGCCTAAGGAAACCAGACCCAATAAGTTATCGCCTAAAGCTGAGCTGATGACTTACATTGGTGTCGCTGATGGCAGCCATGGCTTCAAGTTCATGCGCACCAATAATAGTGTAGTCACCCAGCCTACTGCGCTGCTTGACGAAGCTATGTTCCCTAAATGCTCTAATACAAAGCGACGGGCAAGCACTAGGCTGCAAAGTGCACCTAAACCAGAAAATTCTGATGATGACTGGATCACCGATGACGATGAGCCAGACTCACGTCCTCCTCCTAACTCCCAAAAGGGGTGAGGCCAGGATCGTGATGACGAACCTGCGCAGCCTGAGGCGCGAGAGCCTGAGAACCCACCTTCTCCACCTCCGGGGGATCCTGCGCCACAAGATGAGCCGCGGAGACCGGTGAGAGAAAGGAAACCAGTAACTCGCCCGGGTAATATCTACGGTGAATCGCGGAATCCCGTAGAAACCTATCGCGAGATTGAGTCAGACAAGAAGTGGAAGGATTTAGTTGGCGAAAAACCTAAGACGTCTCGCATACCTCGCCAGTCCAAGCAGAAGCAACAGGTTCCCGGACCTAGCTCTGCCCCTCCACCTCGCGACCCTCCTGCTCAATCCCCGGGTGCTTCACATGAGCCAGTCGCTCCTGAAGCCTCTGACCAGCAGTCTGAACATGACGCTGATGAGTTACTTCTGGCACAGCTATGCCGGGAAGGGGGAGTACCATTAATTAATTACCTGCTTCTGAAGGCTATTTCGCCTGAGGCAGATGATCCAGACATGTCCAATGTCAGAGAATGGACGTACCGCAATATCATTCACTTACCACCAGAGAAGCAGAAGGAATGGAGAGCTGCTTGCCACGAAGAATTGGATGCACTTCGTTGGTGCAGAGTCTTCGACTTGGTTGACCGCCCTAAAGGGCATAAAGTCATAAAATGTCGCTGGGTATTTGACGTCAAATCAGATGGACGTCACAAAGCGAGATTAGTTGCTAAAGGCTTCTCACAGGTTGAAGGTATAGACTTCGACCAAATATTCTCACCAGTTGTGCGCTTTGAGACAGTGCGCCTTATGCTCGCGCTATGTCCATGATCAGATTGTATATATGTACCAAATTACATTGACTTATGACTTTGGTGTTCTCTTGTATGAGATTATGTCGGTTATATGAACTTATCCAGAACTTATCCACCCGTTATCTTCATTATATGGCCCTAGAGCCAATTATGCAAAATTATGTCTAATTTGCCAGGGAGGGTTTTCCTGATGAGATTTTTGCACACCGAGTCTCAAGTCATCTCAAGATGCATGTGTCCCACTGGGACAATGCCCTTCCTAAACCTATCATTGTCAGCCGTTTGCGCGGATGAATTTGTCCAATCCAATGCAGTGGATGAACTGGTGCGGCGAGGCGTTCAATGCGCCCTTGACCTCCGATATCCATAGGATATTTATGGGTCCACAGTAATCCCCTGCCTATTTTGCGTCAAATGTTCTGTTGGAGGTGTACCGCTCGATAATAATACTCACTTGCTTAAGTACGGCGCTGCGCGGCACGCCGGAGTCCGATTCCCTTCCGCTTGACCGGTGATAAGCCTCAGGATCATCTGACCCCCGAAAATGCGGACTCAGCACATCGTACAAGCCCTCCGGAGCTTATTCGACACAGCACTCACACGCCTCTAGGCTTCTATGGGCTCTAAAGAATTGCTCTATTTAGCTCCGGACTTCCTAGCATCCTGGAGGCGTACACGGACCCATTCCGCGATTTATCTCCGCAAACGCGAGCTCCAGGGTGACTTAACCAAGGCGACTTCTAGATGAATTAGCTCCAGGGCCGCGGGCACTTCTATCGAGGGGCATCGTCCTCATGCCCACCCTCCAGCACTCATTCCCCCTCATTTCCGTCAAGATAGCGAAGGTGCGGACGTATACGAGTCACCATGAGGTCAGCATCAGTCAGCAAGCGGCCGGAGGTAATTAGCACGTGACCGGCGCATTGCACGGAGTGATGGGAATGCTTGGATCAGGTGGCAGAGCGTCAAGGTGACCTCTAGGGGTTCGGACGAGCAAGTAGGAGTGCAAGGAAGTCGTATGGTGCATGGTATAGCGGCGGCAAGTGCTGAGCAATCCTGTGGGTAGCAGCGGTTATTTGTTATTTATCTCCGGACGGTCGCAAAGCCATTCCTGTAGTATAAATTGTACAAAGTAGCGTACAGAAAAACAAGTTTCAACTTCACCATCTCAGAGAATTAGTGTTACGATCTCAGCGACCCGAGAAGTTCGAAAGCGCCGAACTTAGCGAATTATAACCGACCCTAGCTTTGCCAATAGGCCTGACTCGTAGAGTGAATTATCTCCGCCATCGATTCAATTAGCTCCGGTGAGCCTCACATAGCGAAATAAAATTAAACAAGTCTTTCTAGCGTTTCTTACTTCCGTGGGCCCGAACCTACACTCGGTTCCGTGGTTTGCGACTTTGTTTGCGACTTTCTGGAGATAAATACTCCGGAGCGTCCCTTAGTGTTTGTTTCAGGCGTTAAGGTTTTTGTTTTATTTTTCTAGGTCTTCCTACGGACTACCCTACGGCGTCTTACTCCTCCTTTCCCCCTCGAACTATTAAATACCCTTCAGTTGTCTCGGACCACCTTCACCCATATCACGGGGTTTAGGTTTATTTCTTTTGGTCCTTGGTGATTGTTGTGTGTCTGTGCATATCACTGTTCCTAGAGCTCTGGAGAGCGAGCAGTTGAACGTAGAACCACTGCCGGAGAACAACATGTACATCAAGAAAGCTCATTTTGAGCGGCCACATTTCGGCCGGCCTGACGGCCGCCTCAGTATGGCAGGAGACTCAATTTATGTCCAGCAGGTAAGTAGCTACCACTGAGGTCCGCATTGAGGGATACAGTACATGATCTCCTCACAGCGGAGCATACCACCACCAAATGACCCCTCGAACCCCTCAGTACAAATGGGGGGATAATGCCCGAAGGATATAAATAAAGTCATTCTAAAACGAGGTAAATAGCCCCTGTCCAACGAGACGCCACGTGTTGCCACTGAAGCCAGTACTGTACTGATAACCAATTCCCAAGGGCATTGGAACTCCAGCTCGGCAATCACCTTCCCGTCCTCGCCGCCTTCCTCACGTACTTCAAATTATTTACGCCAGTCGGCCTTGCGAACTCTACATGTCAACATCATACGCCCCTCTGGCCTGGTCCTCCCGACTATATCCTTGCTACTTACGTCGGGTACTCAGGTGCTTGACCTCCGGCGGAGAGCTGAATACTCTGTTGCGAGACTGGAATGGGTTGACGTGCATATCAGCGGTGGCATGCAGGGCCCAAGGTTAGGCTGGCATGTCAGGCCGATGATATCACCAAGAAGCTCTTATAACATTGGAGACTTCATGCCATAGGTCGCGCGATCGGCGAGGGAGCGGATGACTTGGTTTCAACACCCTCACTGCGTTGTATGATCTGGAAATCTTGTCATTGATGATTTATCTTCTGAGTGTGTCAGGGACATTGTATCAGTCTGATTACAGCTGTTCCTCTGGTACTTTACGCTATGAACGGGAAGATCCGTCTATGGGTTATAGAACAGCGCGAATCAGCAAGCCATTGAATGCCTGTCAGCCGGTTCTGCAAGCATCCGGAGCAAGGTAAGTAGGCAAATACTACACGCCGTCAGAACAATCTGCAAATTACATGAGAGGACAGGACTTCAAGAGGCATCAGGATGAGGTGGATGACAGCCACAGTTCACCCGTCACGTGCTACGCGTCCAAGATTTGCGCTTGATGATTGATCGCGACCCGTTCCTGCAACTTACACAGCTGCAATTAATTGTGACATTTCGCTCGCAGTAACAGTGGTAAGTGCGCTACCCAGCTGCGATGTATTGGCTCATGTTGAGGGTGCTCATCGGACATCCGTCGGCGAAGACGAGCAGATCTACTTCATGGATGGCGTCAAATCAACCACCATACCACTTGTACAGCTTCTACCTGTGGAGTTGCTCTCCATGATATTTTTGGAGTCGTATAAAATGCGGGGTTTCTACGGGAACAGGCTTGACCGTAGTTTCATTCCCCTCGTCCTCAGGCTGACACACGTCTGCCGTCGTTGGCGACATTGTGCCTGCTCTACGGCGAGGTTATGGTGTGATATGGCTATCATACACCACCGCCGCTCTTCCTTGAATAAAACATCCGAAGCTCGCGTTCGGCAAGAACTTGAAAGTCTGTCAAGCTTGGCGGAACTGTTCCTCGCTCGGTCAGGGACACTTCCTATGAATGTTTCCTTTGATCTGGATTACAAACCCTTCGAGGGAATTCAAGGATGCTTCCAAACCTGGAGATCATGCATTGCCCGTTGCAAGTCATTGCGGCTCCACGTAGTAGTGCCGATGCTGCGCCTGTTCTTCCCGGTCCCAGTCGAGTTGCCCCTGCTCGAGTCCCTGCAATACATCCCTGTGTTCTGCTCCCCTGTTATTCCGGTATCACTTGCGAACATCTCAGCGCCACGACTCGCTTCTCTATCCCTGGACAGCATTCGTGAAACGGATTCCATTGACATCGGTATTCCTGCATCTCAACTCACTGAACTCCGGCTGGAGACAGCCCTCAATCTCTCTGTCATCAGGCTCCTCGAGGCACAGTGTCAATCGCTCAAGACTGTGCGCTTGCATTTTGACCGTTCCGTCGTATCTCGTATGCGTCCAATGACATTCCCGAATTTGGAGGATGCCGATCTAAAATTTCCAGACGACATTTTTGATGTCGTTTTGCCCAACTTTGTCGCACCATCATTACAAGCCTTGCGTATCGCTGCGTCGTCCTCTCCTCTGCTCGAACCCTTCGTCATGTTTCTCGCTCGCATGCTCGCGGCTTCGGGTAGTCAGCTCCGGAAGCTGCACATTGATTGCTGGGAGGTCTTTGAAGATGTGGAGGGACTGTACCGCGTACTAAAAGCGGTCCCATCATTATCTTTCCTCTCAATTTTTGGGTCATTGTCGTCAGGAATCCGCCTCGATGAGATCCTCGACCCTCTCATCCATAGGGATCCAGCCACCAATCAATTTCCCGTTCCGCATCTGGCGAAACTTAACATCAGCTTTAACGCGGACGACGCGGAGGGGTGTGCTGACGACGAGAGCCTGTGCGAGATCCTTGACCTTAGACGGAGCGGGGAGTACGCCGTCGCAAAACTCGAAACGGTCGACATAGAAAACTACCGCCCCAAGCCGGTCTGGCGCATCCGGCCTGGCGTGGAAGGGATAATCAGGGACCCCGATTTCACCGAGTGAGTACTAGTCACTGTTCGTACTGTGCAGCGTTCTCAAGTTCAAATAGAAGTCAAGACTCAACTAAAGCAATCTAACGAGGGTGAGGACGATGACCTATTTCTCGACTTTGACACTTATGTAGCTGTAGGCGAAAGAACGATACTGGCTAGCGGGTACGTCACGATTATGTATACGCTCCGACAAGACAGTGGATTCAGTTCGTCATATCTGCCAGATACACGACCTGATTTAACCTCAACGCCGGGTGTTGCGAGCCGCTCACAGCTTTGCATCGACACGACGGGCGGCATATACCCATGTGAATTCCCTGAGGGTCCTGTCGAGGCGTAGCCGAATGTATGACTGTTACGATATTTCCCGCGGGGTGCAGTGGCCGGGGAATGTACGGGAAACATATAAAATCAGAAAAAGTACTCTAATACATAAGCAAGGACTCCACAGGAAAGCAATGCAGAAACCACAGGTAGTACAAAATTGACCACAGTCGGGGACGGCGAAGGAAGGGTGAGCCTTCATATACTATTCTCGGGTCGGGCTACGCAGGCGTAATTCTTTGTCCTGCCTGAAAACCAGGCGAAGTCGATGCCTGGTGAGTAGTGGCCTTCCAGCAGTGCGAGAAGCAAGCAATTGCCGGCGGGAATAGCCAGATCATGGCATCCGGCGAGTTCGATCTCTTCCTCCTGGTCCTCTGCGGAGAGCTTGTACCAATCGAGCGTTCGTATGACCACGTTCCCTACTGCCTGCATTCAGGTCAGCGCACCGCCGTGAATATCAGGCATGAGAGGGAGGACGTACTACTATCCATCTCCACAAGAAAGGGTTGACTTCCTTGGTAAACGGTGTCGTTTCAATGAGACGTTGCAACCGACTGTCAATCAGGTTCATGAAGTAGTTCACGCCTTGAGCCCCTCCGGTGGAATATTGGCCCTTCGCCAGTATAATGTGAAGCATTCGGCAATGCAAAACATTCTCAAGGCGGTCCAACAGCTCCATCACCAGGGACGTGTAGATCAGGTCGGGAAGCAGACGCTCTGCGTACAGGTCCCCAATGAATGCAGCGTGATTGACCAACCTTTCGCGACGTTCGTCGACGTCGGGGTGCATTGAGCTCACACCATTTGAGTCGACGAAGCACGACAGGTCGGACTACAACGATGACCATCAGATGCGAGGGAAGGATGGCGTCTGTGCAGCAATACCTCACCTTGATGATTTCCAGGAACGAGGTAGCCACACCCTCCGAGAGCACACGCCGGAAGCGTCCCATAACCTGCGGGGCGCGGCATTTCCTTCCCAGCGCGTAGAAGACCTCCCGAGCCAGTTTGGCCACAGTCTTGGTGTAGGACCCTTGTAGGCAACCAGCGACAGCAAACATCTCAGCAAGGTCGACTATGTGAGTCGCTCGGATATCCTCGGACGTCCAGTCAGACCGAGACATAACGCTACTAATCAGCTCTGCCTCTTGGAGGATACGGTCGGGGGTGATCGTTAGATGCATCGTATCTTCCACATGATCGAAATACTCGAGCAGCTCGTCGTAGGAGCACTGGTTAAGTGGAGAGTCCGCGGGAGCGAAGGAGAGACGGTGAGTAGAAATCAAGTTCCGTAGACTTTCCGGGATAGAGGTCATGATAGGCAAGTGTGGCTCGACCTGGTATTCCGGATTTGTTAGGACGGGGAATCTGAGGGACTACCGGCTTCGATGAAGCAGATAGAATACAGCGGGGTGGATCTGCGAGGCCACGGAAAGACAGTGCAGTTGTAGACGAAGAAAAAGAACCACTCGCGACGCTCCGATTTATCTGTGGCAAGAGTCACGTCACCCGAAAAACAACACGTGACAGCTGCCACATCGCGAGCATTGTTCTTCATATGGCCTGTTATTCAGCGTTACTCAGGCAAAACTTGAGCATGCCAAAACTGCCGGCTTGCCTTTCTGTCTTCGCCTTATGAGCCACAATTAGGAGGGGGGGGGGGGGCACAAGGTCTAGTAAGCTATCGAGCCCGCGTCCTTCGCGAATGGGCGGCAGACGAATTCTAGGATACCTTTCTTCTGATCTTCATGCGACTGCTAACCCGTTTACCATATGGTACTTCGAGAGCCGCGTGTCGTCGGCTTGCACTTCTGTTCACGGTTTGGGGCACTGGTAGAGGGGAGCTGGTACTTACCTGATTTTTTGTCGTCGTGATCATTGACCCCAATTAACGAGAGACACGTAGGGCTCCAGCAGGCTTCAGATCATGCAGAGGGAACGATTGAATTTTGTGCGGCTTTTGCGATGAACGCGACAAGCTCGCTGAGGAGAAACTGGACGTACCGTACATACGGCGGAGGAGTTTTATTGCTTGAGCGGTTCCTGAAGAGTCAAAGAGAGGAGACGGTGTACTCGCCAGCCGCCTGTCTGACGACTGCGTCGCATGTACGAAGTCGGCTGCGGACATCCACGACGAGGTAGAGAGGTGTCAAGGTTTGATTATACTTTTCAGGTAGCCAACCTTTGGATTACTTCACGGACACACGTCCCCACGTTGAAAGCTTAGAACAGTATCGCTGATAGTCTCACAAGCTAGCATGGAAGCTGTGCTAAGCTTCAACGACGGGCGCCGTAGATTTTACCAATACTTCTCTCCAGTTGGACGGCAGCACCTCCTTTTCAAACCTGACCTGGAATTATAGAACATCTTTCCCCTCGAAGACCGAAGGCCGGAGTATTGCCAGTGTGCAGCATCGCGATGGATGAAACACGGTGAACACGAGGCTATAACGCGAATTATTCCTCGTAGGAAGCAAATTATTATAATCTGCTTGTCATGGAGACCGACTATCAAGGATTCAAGACTCTTCTGCAGGCTGCAGCAGGAAGAGTTGAGAGCAAGAACGAAAGAGAGATCATTCCGTTCATCTGAAAAGCTTGGAAGTGCCCCGCATGATCACGTGACACAACTATTACTGCCATTGCCAAATTTTGTAGTCACTCGTTCACCCTTTCAATCCGAAACGACCATGGCTACCTCGTACGTCTGCATCTCCTGCAAAAGCTGGTGACTCTGAAGCAGACACTCTAGGACACAGAAGACATCATGGGCTGACGAGGTCGACGAGATCGGTGAGCACGGCTGGCGCACCGCCAGGAAATACTACTAATGCATCCCTCTGGCAGACCAACCCAAGATCGAGGACTTCGTCGACGAAAATGGTATCAGGACGACCATCGAATATACTACGAATGACGAGGGGAAGAAAGTGAAGGTGCGAGGGGAGCCAGTCTCGCGGCTGCCGAGAGCTAACGCCTCAGCGCAGATAACACGGAAAACGAAACGCGTACTGCAGAAGTCTCTCGTTGACCACGTCGTTGCTGAGCGCAAAACATGGGCGAAATTCGGGCAGGAGAAGGGGAACAAGCCTGGCCCGGATCGGGCGACTACTACAATCGCGGAGGATGTCCCGCTGAGAATTAGTGCTGGCAATAAGGTGCGTCCCCTTTTCTGGTATGCCCTGATATCAGGATGCCTTACCATGATCTTGGATTTTGCAGTCTTCGGAGAAAGAGCAGGCGCAGGACAACACGGTGAAGGCGAACCTTGCCCGTGCCGGTGCAGGCAAGGTCGTCTGTCGTATCTGTAAGGGTGCCCACTTTACCGCAAAATGCCCATACAAGGACACGTTGGGCGGTCTCGAAGGTACGTTTAATCATCGTTCCATCCTTTCAGCCTACTGAGAGTACGTCGCCTAGACGCGCCACCTATGTTTGATGAAGACGGTGCTCCCAGCGGCGCCGAACCCGCTGCAGCTGCCGCCGCAGCGCCAGCAGCCGCAAGCACAGGCGGCAAGTATGTCCCTCCCTCAATGCGTGGTGCCCGCGGTCCCGGCGAGCGCATGGGCGGTACATCCCGAGACGACCTGCCCACACTGCGCGTCACCAACATCTCGGAAGACACGCAGGAGAACGACCTGCGCGAGTTGTTCGGTGCGTTTGGCAGGGTTGCTCGGGTGTACGTTGGCCGCGATCGCGAGACGGGTGTCGGGAAGGGCTTCGCATTTGTCAGCTTCGAGGACAAGACGACTGCGGAGCGGGCGATGCAGAAGATGCATGGTAGGGGTTACGATAACTTGATCCTCAATGTCCAGTGGTCGCAACCTAGGGACAAGTAGTGTCTCTGGTTCAGGGTTTCTTGTATCGCTGCTTGCTATCGGATGTACGAATGAGTGCTGCTGTATCATCATTGCCTGAATGCTCGACACCCGCAGTGTGCATGACAAGTTGTACAACATTGATTTCATTCCAACGATAGTGATACAGTGTATTCTACATTGCCGTGGTATAGCAAGAGCCAAGGGCGAGCCGACTAGGTGAGGCTTCATCCTCTCTTAGCCGCCTTCTTTGCAGCAGCCCTAGCCTTCGTGATTTGCTTCTTCCATCCGTAGCATTGGTTGCAATCTGCGACGATCAATCGTACCGGTATTCATAAATAGCGAGAACGAATACGTACTAGCTGAGCCGTGCTTCTTGCATACGTATTGACCTTCCTTGTTCAAGGTTGCAGAGTTTGCTTCCAAGCCCTCGCGGTCGATGGGATCGAACTGGGGTGGTCACACGATACGCATGAGGAATGATCCTCCATGTAAGGATGATGAACCCACCCCGAACATGGCGTCATTGTCGGCTCTGCCATCGTAGTCGCACTCAGCGCACTGCGAACATCAAGTCCTAAGCCATGCAACATGGAGGGCCTCAGATAAGACAATGATACTCACAACTTCCTTGAAGTGCTTGCAGAACAGCGCGTCGTTGATCTCAACCTCGTTGGGGGCGACCGCAGCGTCCGACATGGCGACAAGGAGAGTTTAGACTGAGAGGGCAACTACGGGACGGAGCTTACAGCCTGGCTATATGAAGGGCGCCAGGGAAGGGGGTGTTGGGGGTAGCTAGGCCTGACCGAGACCTTTATAGGGAGGGCCAGAGAAGTCGGGATGTAAAGCGGGGTCTCTAAGTATTCCATTCATGGGGCAGAACTGATCATATGGACATTCGCGTCATACCGAGACTGTGGTCATCCGTTTGGCGGTGCACAAGAGCCGGTGTTCACGATGCTCCTCGTAGAGGCAGAACTATAGCTTGCTTCCATCCTTCAGTTTGGCTCCAGTTAACGGCCATAACTTGCTTGAACCTCTTCGTTCCAAGGGTAGGTGAGAACGAGGGCAACCTAGCTAGAGAGCCTAATTCTGGCCGCAGGACTCGAATTCAATTGCGCACCTGATGAGGGGAGGAAGCAGATGACCATGGTGGCGTGGATCCTGGGGAAGTACGTTTGGCTCTGTTTGGAATGTGGCGGTGGCGACTCCGAGCCACATCTTCGAGCCACACCGGTACCCCCGTCGTCGCTACAAGTCCCATTCAACGGCGAAGACGAAGAGAACATCGCAGCCCAAGTATTAAAAGTACACTATTATATATTGAGCACCAGAACACAACGAACTATCTACAATAAGAAAGTCATTCCGAGCGAGAAAGGGAGGAAACGCAAGTATGAACAAGAAGGAAGGCGACTAGACTATACATGAGAGATAGATCTTTACGATTTTCCTGAGACACACAGACAAGAGAGACAGATGACGGAAGAGAAAGACGGAGAGTCGGCGAAGAGAAAAGAGTAAAAGAAGGCAAAGAGGGCAAGAAGCGACAGATGGCAAGAGGGCAAAGTAGAAAGGGGGAAGAGAGGAAGAGCGAGTAGAGGGACAGGAAAGTGAGAGGACAGAAGAAAAGCGAACCTTGATAATAATGATACGACCGTCCCGAGATTGAAACGAACACAACTTAGGCAACCTCTAACATCTAGTCACCCTCGTCCGATGAGTCGCCACTCCACCTCTGCATCGTCCGTGATTCTTTAGGCGAGACGAATTCGAAAGCCGGTCCAAGCAAGGACGGTCCTCGAAAATGGGGCGGGAGCGGCGTGGGCAATGCACCGGTGGAGACTAATCTAGGAGACGTCAGAACTGTTCAGTTTATGCTGGAAATAAGAGAGACTTACGCTCCGGATTCTCTAAGCTCTCCCACAGCAAGTCGGCTTCCAATTGCGTTACCTGAGGGCAACTCTCGATATGGGGGCGGGGAAGTCGGGCACCTCTCTCTCGGAATGCGCTGTATAGTTTCTGAAGATTCGCGAGAATGAAGCTGTGGCATGCGCGGAATTCAAGAGTCTCCAATCCCGCCTCTTCGGGGCACCCAAGGCCTATGTCGTCCTCCTCAAGATATCCCGAGAAATCGCAGCGTTCCAGCTGCAGAGATCTGACTGTCGTGAGACCACAGAAGAATAACGGCGGCGCACGCAGTTCCTTGATATCGACAAGCTGGAGATCCCTCAGTTCCGGAAACTTGAGAGCTGCGGATAATGGGGATCGACACATATCATCGACGATGCTTTCCAGCGCCTGGAGCGATGATGGTGGCCACAACGGGGAGCTGGAGTCACCACGATGACCGCGCAGAGTCAAGCTGACCAGGTGGGGTGCATCGATACGCTCCAGGAGAGATAGGCCGATATGAGGAATAGCGATGTCCATACATTGAAGCCTTTCCAGCTGCACGTCCTTTGGGCACTGAGGAAGGTTCAACCACGGGAGACGCTTACAGCGAAACGTGAACTCCTCCAGCGCCGGGGAGAGTCTCAGCAAGTCGAGGACGAATTCGAGGCTGAGATCGTTATTGACGTTGCCCCGAATGTAATCTTCCGCTATTTCCAGTGACGTCAGCCGAGACCAGAATGATGCCCCTGGAGCAAGTTCGAAATCCAGTGGGATAGAAAGCTTCCGTAATGACAGCGAGGATATGAAAACCGAGGGGTTGTGCACGAAAGTCCGTCCCGCTTCGTCAACCGAACTAACAGTTGGAGCCTCGGATTTGCAACTGATCCCCAGAGCCTGGAGCCGGGGTGTTGGACGAGCCCTGAGATACTTACGGTTCCAACCAATGCGTCTGACCATTTTTGATAAGACCAACGGGTCAGTATGTTCCACATAGAGCGTTCGTAGTCGCTCCGTATGCTTCCGGAGAGTTTTGGCAACGGCGAGAGCCTTTTTAGGACCGGTGTGGGAGGCCTTGAGTTCAATATCCATTGGTCGCTCATGGGACCGTCGAAGACAGTCCGCGAATTTCTGAGCATCCTCGAAATGTGCGGGCTTGCAGAGGGTGACGTTCTCCCAAAACTCGGGAGCTTCATCGACGAGGGCTCTCCATTGTCGTGATACCTGACGAAGAACGTCCCTGTCCCCGCCGGCCTCCAGGTAGTGAGTGAAAATGGCCAACCATAATTCGCGCGGGCATTTCGATGACATCTGCATAGGGTGGATTGATATGGGACGGCGTAGGGAGGAAATCGGATACGAACTTTGAAAGTAGATTGAGATGATGATGGTCGTTGGATAGATTGTGGGGGTTGAAGGGGGGTTCAGGGAGGTCTTTTATACCACAGAAAGTGTGGCTCGAGCGCGAAGAACAGGTCACGCGTCGGCAGAGATCTCAGTCAACGAGACCCATATGCGGAAGGAAAAATCACGTCGACTATGGGGCCCCGGCAGCGCTTCCATCTCGCGGCGTAGGACTCTTCGGGCCCGTCCGTCCACCCGTCAGATATTCGACGTGATCCCTGACATTCCATAGTTAATTTAGTCGGCCTTCGCACTTAGAGCACTCTAGGAAGGATGGGGACTCGAGGAGTGGACCATGGAGGCCTTCACGTGCGGGAAGATATATCGCGTCTGTTTGTTGGTGCTTGCACGTCGCGAGTCCGGTCACGACCCCTAGACCAAGCGGCTGACCAAGCTACGGTCCGAGAGAAGCAGGGGGCGAGGGGGGCGGTAGGATCAAGGACCAGATCGGGCACTACCCGAACCCACGCTGATGGGGTATCGATGGGTTCCTGTATCCTGGAGGTATAAAAGGGTGAAGACGGCAGAGACAAGAAGGTCTAGGCGACGCAGCAATATCCACCGGAAAAATAAGGACCGCTTCTTGACAGACGATCCATCACCCCGGCGCTGAGTAATTTCCTAGAGCGATGGTGGCCACCCAGAGATTCGCGGAGGCAACTAGGCAGTATATGGGAGGGCACGACAGCTCCGCACCCTGAGCTGAGCCGTCAGAACGGATTACGCTGATTTCCATCACGACGACCTAGCAAAATGGGAGAACAAAGAGACCGTGACAGTGAGTAGAATACATAGACGAGCACAAGCGTGCGAATCACCTCAGGAAAAATCGGACAGTTTGGGTCGCGGAATTAACAGAGACCATAACTGTCACAAAGGGGCACGCTCCTGCGCTGGATAACAAGGCGCGATGAAACCGCTGCCAGAGTACCTATCCTTCAATGATATGTAAGTTGACCCCATGGCACGCTCAGAAAATACCGAGAAAGCATCACCTTTGGAAATCTTGTAACAGTCAGTCGGATCAGGAATACTGCCAGTCGACGTCCGCGAGCAAGTCTGCTCGCAAGTGAGGACTACGGTTCCTTCATTCTGAGGTTCCGACTTGCGTCGCGACAGTCGCCCGGATTCTTCCGATACTGATGGAGGGACCCACAACGTCGCTGGAGGACTGCTGAGCACGGGAGAGCCATCGCACTACAACTGACAACTGTACACAGGCAGGCTCGCAGACGCAGGATGCAAAGCATTCATGCCAGCAGGGCGTGCGAAGCTACCAGTTATCCGAGCCTCGAGGCCTTATTTGGTGGCCTTTGTCCGCTGTGGCCACGCTTAGCATGGCTGGATTGTAAGTTATTAATGCGCGCTTTTCGCAGAAACTCGACTTTGGCTTCTAGGAAGAGGATAATATCAATGGCATGAAGAAGCTCCTCGTCGAAGAAGTCAACCTCGCCTGCGCAGAGGTCCACGCGCAGGCAAGAGCGGCAGGCCAGATCCGGGGACAAGACGAGTGGGCACATCCACCCGTATCCTACTGTAGGCCGCGTTTTCCTCGGAGAGGTTGATGTCGATTACGTGCATGTTCTTGTTGCCGACTCAGAAAGTACGTCAACAGTGAGAATGGGCCGATGTCTTTCTGACATGTATCTCAGTCTTAGAGAGTCTGGATGAGGTGGGAGAGCTCGATAGTCGAACATGGAAGACTGTCAAAGGTGCGTCTCAGATTGCCTCCATCTTCATGTCTGCATCACTGATCTGTGTAAGTCTGTGTACAGTGAGCTTTGCTCATAGCATCCGTGCTTACACCATCATAGGGCATCAGTTCGTTTGATGGTATTGCAATTTGCAAAGGTCGTCAACCAAAATAAGGATGTGTTTCATACCGGGCGACCGGCCTCCAACTATGGCCCGCCGGTTGCTCTCTTTAATTCTGTGTTGGGTTGGCTCGCATATCAACTTTCGCGTCTTGAGGACATATCAGAGATTCATCCCGCCTCGTTCCGAGCAGCTCATGAGGTGGTCACCCTGAGTCTTGGTAGCTATCCATCACAGGACATTCGCGTTGATTCGCTCTCTCGCCCATTGCAGATGTGCCTTGGCATGCCGTTTACGTGGAAGCTGAAGATGGCTGGTATCGAACCTAATGTTGTGGTTGGGGGCAGTGAGCCCTTTGGTCTCATGGAGGTCAAGAATGAGGTTGGCTTGAATGGGGATGCTTCATTGCAAGCTGGTTTAGTGTATGCTAGAATTGTGACGGAAACCACGGGAAAGGTAGGCTAATTCGTTGTATCAGGTGTTTCATCTATACTGGTGAGGATACTACAGATGTTACTCCGACGGAAGCAATCAAACTGTCCTACCATTCTCATTAGCATCATGGGGGATCTCTTGGAGATCGCGATTGCTACCCACACAGATGGCCCTTATATCGACTGTCTATTCTCCGAGCGGCTGCGTTTAGGCTTCCATGAGCTCGCTGTAGTCTCTCGTGTGGCTTGTGTCTTCAAGGCTGTGAAAGAGGCGCTTACAGGGCTAGAGCGGTTCTGCTCGGAAATCGACAATGCGCCGCCACCGCTGGGGATCTCCTTCTTGTTCCCGTCGCCGTCGCCGTGCCCTTCTTACGAGCATCTCATGCCGCGTCTGAAATTCGCCGGCCGATTATCCGTCCTGGGCAAATCCTATCAAATGGCAGAGGCTTCGCACGAGAGACGCTCTGGTCTTTACCTTGCTACTCTGTTGAACTCGGATGTCACTGAGCCTGCGGATGTGTCATCTGTCCCTGACATTCATGGCAGAGAGGTTGCTGTCAAGTTCACCACGACATATAACTCTGCTGCACATAAACTTATGGCTGAAGCTGGACTCGCACCGGCGCTACATGCCTGTGTACCCGTGCTTGGCGGCCTCACGATGGTTGTGATGGACTGAGTTCAAGGGGACACGGCATGGGCTTCAAGGTCTCTGAACAAGCCCCTTCCATACAGCATCTACAAGGATGTCAAGACCGCTGTTGAGCTGCTCCATGCTCACAATATTGTCTTTGGCGATCTCCGCACTCCGAATATAATGTGCATACCTGGGGAGAGGGGCTCAGATGAAGCTGCGCGTGCCATGCTGATCGACTTCGACTGGATCGGGATCCACACAGCAGGAAGGTACCCGCCTACACTGAATGATAGCATGCCAATATGGCCCTCCTCTGTTCAGCGAGGTGCACCCATGCTCAAGGCACACGACTTGGAGATGCATGATGTGCTGAAGAAGGTGTGCCTCCCGGAGGCTTCATAAGTTATTGGTGGTTCCGTTGCTGTCTGATTCGGGAAGTCGCTGTTGATAAAGCTGTTCCATTGCCCACGCGCTCCTGCGTCTTTTCATGGGTATCGAGAATGATCTGTGGAGATTAGAAACACTGCGAATCAATTGCACCTTGTCGTTAGTACGAGTCGAGTGAACTATAGCGCGACCGTTTCTCGTCTGTGATCTTTGGTAGTGGAGTGCTGGTACTGAGCCCTCTCGGCACCCCCGCTCACATCAGCCGCCCGCGGCTTGACCTTCTCCACCGCTTCGTGGACGTTGAACGGCGTCACCCAACCCGCCACGATAATGGACATCGCAAAGTACGTCTGTTTCTGCGGCCGGAGTCCCGTTGGTCGTCGCGGCAAGAACGGATTGGAAGCGTTGCATACTGGCAGCTTTTCCCAACCGACGTACAATCGGCCATGTGAGTTGATGTCGGTGAGTTTCCAAGCCGTAGTCGAGTCGTTCTTCCAAGTGATCATCTAGCATTCCCTGTGTCTCTTTTGTCATGACCACGCGGGACACTGCACTCTACGTGATTCAGGAGACATAAGTCGATTTCGTTGCCGGGGCAGGCGTCTCTTGCGTGCGAACTACAGTCGGGACTTCTCAGATTTGCTTCCGTTGTCCCCTTTGTCTCGGATACCCCAATCGCGTTAACGTTGTTGGCCTACATTTCCGGCTACAAGGAGCACTACGTACTGGTGAGTAGCTCGATATCGTTGTTACGAGTCAACGTTCATGTTAGTCCGCAGGCATCATTCAGTAATCGGCCGATCGGGAGGATGCACGCTCGGAGGTATGTCACGGTCTGCTTTATGCTCGTACGCTAGTCCTTACCATGATACATTTCACCTGTGATGGCCTTACACATTGCGTAGACGTGACAGTCTCAAGTGTTGCGGAACTAAATTTAATTGATCTAATGTGCGCGTATTCCGCTCCTTTTCTTTGTCACACCTTATTCCTTCTCTGGCTGTCTACAGGCTACGGCAGGATATGGTGACAGCCTTCGCATCCCCCTTCTTTTCTCGCTTATGCGGGCCATCAGGGTGTGCTGATGCACACGGCGCAACCACAGAAAAGCAACCGAAAGGGGTGGAGACACTCCTCCTTCGCTCCTCCCCTCAACCCTACCTCCTGTGGCATTCTCTGGTCGCGTCCAGAAGACGGTACGAACCCTGGTTCCTCGCCTGGGCCCAGCTCAGGCGCATCACTCTTCCCTTAAAAAGTTGCAGAGTGGCCATGTCATCCCACGCGGCATCACGAGCGTCGATCAATCTCTACAGTCAGTTCCTCTTGCGATTCCGCAAAAAATAATGCGATAATAGCCAGGTAAGGCATTTATTCTTGTGGCCGCGGTGTGGCGGGAGGATGTGGCTAGAGAATGTGGTTTAAAACGCGTCCCCTCCTCGTCCTTCGACCGCACCTGCACAACTGCCTCACAACCAGCGACGGCTGTCAGTCACATTCTGCGCCTCGTTTACAGTAAGTTCCCTCCCTCAGTCCCTGCGCGAATACTGACATACTTGACCATAGATGTCGAGAAGCCCGCTTTCGCCCAACGGCCTCCCTGTGGAAACCCTCAGCAGAATATTCACAATGTACCTCGACTCGGAGAACCCTGCGGAAATTGGTGACCTACGACTGGTCTGCCAGCACGGGAGAGCCGTCGCAGACCAAACACCACAGTTGTGGTGCACGGTCGTTGTAGCCGGGCTGCGGTCGTTCAACGACTTGGACGGTCTGCGACAGCGCCTCCGTCGGTCAGGTGTCTTACCCTTGCACATCACCTTGCGCAGTCGGGACATCCCCGAGAATACGCTGATGCCTGTCATCACTGCACTCTCAGAGTATCTTCCCCGGATCCGGACTTTCGAGGTCACCTCAGCTGATTTCAGGCTCCTGCTGCAGTCCTTCGCCTCATTGAGCAACGGCGCAGTAGACCCCGCGTTGTTTCTGGAGGGTTTGAGGCTTGATTGGGAAGACCCGCACCCCCTCCTCACTTATTCGGTTGGCCAGAGTTATGACCTAGGCTATGTCTTCCCTGCCTGTCCTCGACTACGACTGCTCGAAATTCCCGTCGGGTTCTCTGTGACGAACAAGGCGTTCTTGGCAAATCTGACGGCCCTCAGGTTCTTCGCCATCAACAGCCACTTCGTTGTCCTTGACAGATCCGCGTTCGATAATGTGCTAGATATGCTGGCGGCATGTCCCCATCTGGAGCAATTGGTTTGGCAGGGGCCGCAGCTCCCTTTTACACTGCTGAAGCGCGCCTTTCAACCACAGCGAATAATCTCGATGCCTTGGCTCAAGATCGCCGAAATTACGACCCCCGGCCCTGGCCTCGATTTGTTGGGATGTCTTGAGGCACCGATATTGGACACCCTTTTCCTGGAAGGTTCGCAGACGTATGGCATGTTTGGACCCGACATTGATGCTCAGGGAAGAGGACTACTCGCCGTCGTCAGAAATCTCATCTGGCGCTCTCCAAAGCTGGAAATCGTCCGGCTGTGTTGTATCGGGCGCTTCGCGGAGTCAGATGCACTCTTCGATCTATTCTTTCATTCGTTTCCGGACATGGTGCACCTCGCCCTCGCGCGGTGCGACATCAGGGGGATCCTGCCCCGATACACCGACCTTTGGCCCTGCGTTACCTCGAGAAAGCTGAAGGCACTGCAGTTGTACGGATGCGACAGACTCGACGCCCCTTACTTGGTCGACTTTGTTCATGACGGCGCATCTTTCGGCTGTCCCCTGGACCTCTTGATCGTCAACCGTTGTGGCCGGATTCTGGATGCCGACTTCCAGCAAATGAGGGGGCATGTCACGACGTACAGCGAGTTCCATCCCGCGGTGTAGCGAGCAGCAGTCACTTCCACGATGAACAGTTCTTCTCTTGTGTATATAAACGAAATGCGGTTCCTGGCCCCTTTTTACTTCACCTTTGAATCCTCCCGTACTCTTTGTTTCACGTTATGTTCCATGTATATTTACCTCTTCTATGTAAAAACTTTTCATGCTGTCAATACAACGAATCTGTAAATACACGAGGTTATATACACGCGGCCTCCTTCCTTCATCTCACTCGTCCTCCAGTGGGAACCGGCGGTGCCCGAGTGGCATTCATCTTCCTGCACTCGTATAACAGCTGTCTGAGTTCAGGCGTATTAGCTGCCGCCTGCTCTCCATCCCTGTTGGATTCTCCGCTCAAAGCTGTCTCCGTCCCATCTTCATCCTCTACCTCGCCCTCCAATTCTGGCAGGTTACCCAACAGTTCGCCGGTGCAGTCCTCTAGCCGCACCCCCATCCGCGAGCACATGTTCCACCATCTCTCCCACCGCTCGAAGCAGCTCTTGTCTGGCCCGTTTGCCCGTTCGAGGTCACTGAGGAGTCCCCGGTTAAGCACCCGGATACACCGCAGCGAGGGGAAGTTCCATCGATTGAGCGCGGCGAAGGTGAGGTCGTTCGTGCGGCGTATGAGGTGCGCACGCAGCGGCTGCCGCGCATCCATCGCCGCCGTGTAGCCGACACCAAAGGCATGCAAAAGCTGATGCAGCCCGATGTTCACGATGTGCGCGTGCGGCTTGCTGACGATTCGCGCGATGTGTAGGTCCAGCGGGTCCGTGTTAACCGGCCAGTCGGGGTTGAAGCAGAAGGTGCGCAGGTGCGGGCAGAGGGAGAGCACCGTGGGGAGGTCGACGGGAGGGATCAGGTTGAGGTCGAGGTACGTCAGGTTTAGGCCGTGTGAGGTGAGGAACATGGGTATGTCGGGGAGAGTGTCGATGTTCGAGCCGTAGTCGAGCGTCAAGCTTGCGAGGGAAGGTAGGGACCAGTCTGTGGCGAGTTCGACAAAGTCGGTAAAGTTGTTGTGGAGGGAGAGCTGTGACAGGTGGGGGAGCGTCGGGGACAAGCCACTCGCAGATCCTAGGCGCAGAGAGGAGGTCGACGGACGGAAGTCTATGGATACGCATGTCAAGTTCGGGAGAGAAGCCAAAGCCCATATTATCCGAGACAGGGCTGAGCAAGAGACGGACCACTGGACGGTGCGTAATGACCGCGGACAAAATGTGCACAGGGCATCTGCTACAGTGCCGAACGAGTCTCCCAAAGACCAACTGACCCCAAAAGTCTGAAGGTTCGGCATGTGCTGTATGATCGACACCAGGTAATCTTCCACAGAGTCTACGGACCCGTACCTATCCAGGTGGAACCGCCTGCTCCACCATCCCAGTGATGCATCCTTGTCTAGACGACCGCAGAGAGCACCAAGCTGCGACGGTCGTTCTACAAGTATGAACTTGAATAGATATTCACAGCCAATTTGGCGCCAGGCTCTGCAAGTAGACACAATGGCCTGGACTTGGTTAGAACCGCGAAAATTGGAGACCAAAGGACAGCAGCACCTTCTTCGTCCTGTAGCCTCTCCGCTGAATATCATGAATCCTATCCGTGGGCGACTTTAAGGCCCATTCTTCAAAGACAGTGCGGAACCACGCCGATTCATCCCATGCGGTCGGTAAAGCAAGGTTGGACAGAAGGGGCTCCTCCGTCGCAAGATCGAATATGTACGTCCAAAGTTCAGCAGGCAGGCTTTCGCATGGCATGCTTAGCGACTGGAAAAGTCCTGTTGTAGTGTCTTAAATTCCCTGAGCCGCTCAGATCGTGGTGAATTGCAAGGCATGGAATGTTCAAGTCTGAACCAAGTTCACGTCCTCGCCGCCGGCAGATCGGCGTGTACTGATGGGTGAGCCACGTGGATATTGCAGGGGCCGCACTGGGCCGCAGTGTTAACGTTGCTCACCAGCTGCGGTGAATATTAATATTGTTCAGCAAACAAAGTCCACTACTACCACCTGAATCCTACGAAATGACTTCCTGGCAGAAAGAAAGGCTTGATTCCTTTCGCCCGCAGGAAATACTAACCACTGCAGTGAATAGGCTATGGATTCGATGATCCACTGAATGTCTCGTGGTAGAACGTGAAAACAAAAGGTCATGATGTGAACTGACGACCACGCCCTTTATATATTATATGCTTCAAGTATGCTCACTGACAGTCAGCGGCGGACTTGGCGACATGGGATTCACCATTACGGAAGTGCCAGAATGAGGTAGACAAGTGCCAGAACAGTTAGTGGGAGTCGGCAACGCCTGCCAAATTCGAACTCCGCCGCGCGCGTCACGCTTCAGCCACATGAGCGAAATGCTGGTTACAGCTTGTGGTGCACTTTTCGGGACGAGGAGACATTCTAAAATAGCGAAAAAATCTTTGGATATTCTTTGATGTTATATAGAATCCATCCTTCCAGTTCGATTTTTGATACACTGCCTTGTAAGTGCTATAAGACCAAGATCAGAGGGCTGAGGTGATAGGTTAACCAGGAGAGGGACACAAATCGAGAATTTTAACTGGAAGGATGGAATCATACACACCTAAAAGAATATATTCCGATTTTTACTCTAATTAAAGTGTGATACTGAGCGAGAAAAGTGCACCACACGCAACACACACCAGATAGCCATAGTCGGCATTTGCCGAGACGTGTCCATTGACGCGTTTTCGACGCGTTTTGATAGAACACGTCCCTTCTGGAAGCACCGGCAAATGGAGATCAAGGCAGGGATAGCTAAGGACGAGGCTGGTGCCCATCAAGTCAAAAGTAACCAAGAAGGCGGACAAGATTAATGCTCTAATCAAAACAGTCAAGAGGTATTCTGAAGGCTATCCTTTTTCAATTTTATGGCAGCTTCTACAGATAATACAGACCCAGGGTATGAGGACTCAGGGGAAGAAGAATACTAATTCATGATTACCATATTGCGCTTTTTAGCGGTATAATAATTCTCTTTATTGCATATATGACATCAATACTACTGTAGATATTATACCAGCTGTATTAAGTATCAAAGTTTCTCTTTATCGTGCAGGAATAGATCATTCAGTCCGAGGTTGGCAGAGGAGAACGGCCTATGGCGCGAAATGATGCGCGTGTGACAATCACGGTCACACGGACATTTGGCTGGCAGGCGTTGCCGACTCTCACAGTTAGCACGTCTTCTCTCGGTGCTTCAGCGTCAAAAAGTCAGCGAATCGCCTATTGCCCAATCATTCCATCAGATGAGTCGCATAGCTTGGTTTATGATACAAGCAGAAAAGTGGTGGTAGAAACGCTTCTAGACAAGAATAGTGCCCCTCTTGGAACATCTATGGGTTGACAAGACTAAACCCTCCATCCACAGTCACGACTTGGCCATTTATATAGTTAGCTGATGCCACCAAAGAGAGGACTGCCATCGTCATCTCCTCCTCCCTATGCAAGCGTTAGTCGACTATGATAGAATCTTCAGCGTGAAATCTCACTTTCCCGGCCGTTTTGTTGGCGCTGGAGAGACAGTTCCAGGCATGGCCAAGCCGCTCCTGACGAGGTGTTCGAGCTCCGGGGGAGTGGCTTCTGAAATGAAGTAGCCGGCTGCGATAGCGTTTACTCTGACGGGGATCTTCAACAGAGTGTATTCGGTAGCCAGGGAACCCGTCAAGTGATTGAGCGCCGCTTTGGTTACGCCATAGCAGTACTGCAAGTTGGGTTAGCGGGGGCATTGAATCAGCATGGCGTTACCCACCATTCCTATATTTAGGTGCGTCGAAGCCAACCCGCTCGAGATGTTGACGACGCTCGACGTCTCGCCTTCACCGACATCATGAGCCCCGTTCTCCAAGAGGCCTAAGAAGGCGCTCGTAACGAAGAATGCAGAGGCTACATTGAGTTGATACAAGTCTTTCCACTGCTCGAAGGTTTGATGCTCGAAAAGAGCTCGACCGAAGGTCTCAGTGTCCTTGCGCTCCGGCGCGGATGGATTGGCGGCAAACATGGAGACGGGACCTGCTGCACCAGCACTAGATAATAGCCGTTAATAACGACCTTTGCGACTCATCCGGGAGCACCACACTTGTTGACCAAGATATGCAATTTCCCTTCCTTTTCCTTGAGGGTCGTCACGCCAGCGCGGATAGAGTCCTTATCCGTCACATCCAGTGGGAGACTATCGTTTAGTCGATTAGCAAGTGAGCACGTTCGGAACGCCGATGATGGGCTCACGGGATAACCTGCAAGCCTTGCGACTGCGCTTGTGCAGCAGCTTTCTCTAAGACGTCCTTCCGTCGACCGGTGATGTATACCTTGGCCCCATTTGCTGCTAAACCTCTTGCAATAAGATTTCCACTGCGTAAACGTTAATCGGCATACCAAACAATGAAAGCAGTGTGGGGTACTGACATTCCGGTCCCCCCGCCCGTGACTAGGGCGACACGACCCGTCAAATCAGTTAACTTCGAGCCGTGAAGGGAGGCCATTTCACAAGGACGTCAGATAGGATAAAGGAGGTCGAGAGAGGAATCCTTTTGTACCGGGACCTTCTTGAACGATGCTTCGGGAAGATTACATGGACGAGATATAACGTATACCGGTTCCCTCGGCATCCAGTTCTCTGTCTCCCGTACTGGACGGCTGCATTTGAATTCCACTGCAGACCTTTGTCAGCATCGACCTTCTGCTGAAGTCGTCGCCATCGCCAACTTGAAGCCTAGGCACTTCGAAGTGACAGAGCGTACGCGTCCCCTCTCTATCCTACCATCTTCAGCTCTGTGCCTTGTTCAGCCAGTGCTTCCGAGTCATTGGTTCTAACACGCATTATTAAGCTGCTGCGTAGCACTTTTTTATGGCACTTACCTCCAGTTCCTAGCTTTCTTATACGCTGCGTCCGACACGATTTTCCGACCGTTCAGTCACGTTCTGCCGACGGCACGTCACGAAGTCTGTCACCAACGGTCGGTCAGGACCCCAGCGGGGGTTCCAAGAACCGGCCCGGGCAGTAGCCGGAACGAACTTATGTCTGGCGAGACGGCATCAATCGTGCCTCCTCACTTCATTCTGACCTGCCACTGCTTGATAATGAGAAATAGGGAGCTTGCCATAAGTACATTGGCTTCAGATTCTAAGACTTGTGGCCATATGGTACCACACATTTAGCTCAGGTTGTTGCTCACACATCCACTTCATCGGTGAGGTAGATAATACTAGTGTCTCCATCAGCGCCGAGGCAAGGCGCTCTGCGGCCCTCCAACTAGACCACGGAAAATAAGTCACTGGGCAGCTTTGGAGTCGTCAGGATTACGGTGCCCGAGTACACGAGATCCAATACCCCCAGTTGGATGCAACTCAGCAACTCAACTGTGGTAATGTGTCGGGACGCGTTTTGTCAGGCGTGAAGGGAAGATCAACTGTGCTAGGGAATTTGATGAGCTACGTGAGTGCATCCCTAAGCTCCCGGAACTCACTTTAAAGGATAAAGGTTCTCGAACATATCAAGGACCCGACATGAACCAAGCGCGGCAATGTCCCAGGAAATGAGAATGGTTTATGCACGAAGGCCTTGCTGATCAGATAGTAGTATGGCCATAGCTGGTAAGAACAGGATTCCCAGAATGAAGTGCAGTCTTGGCACATAGAGCAATCAATGAGGTTGTGCCAAGCCCTCAGGTGTGGTTGATCCCATTGGCATTCAATCGGTACCGGTGCACCTCTCGTGCTCCCCTCATCCTCGGGTCAGTTCCATTTCCCCCTCCCCTCTGCCTTCCTGTCGACGTGGTCTTATCTGTCCCATGCTATTGCTCATATCATAATTCATGCCCATCACAAATCCTGGCTCTCCCTCATTCATTGTAATTGAATGGTCGCAGATACTCCTTCCGTTCCTTCTTTTTTTTTGGACACGCGATATTATTATCTAGCAACTGACTATAGGTACAGCCCTACATAATGTGCTATAGCGGATTGAGAACAATCCGGTCTGAGGAAAAATGCCTTTACGCACGACCTCCGGCGGGGGCCGGAGAGTGTGGGGCTCGAGAGAGCACCTGGATGC